AAGTACATTCGCATTATGTAAGTGGCTTCACAGTGCATGAGATAAGCCTTCAGAGATGGAAGTAATCAGTTTCCTGTTAAGTAATCTGCCTTTTAGCCTTGGAAAATGTCGTAACCAGGTTCCTACCGCAGTGTAACCTTTATACCAACATCACATTGACAACCTGAGAAGCACAGTATTCCTGTTAGCACTGTTATTGCTTGTAATTATGTAGAATTAAGTTGAAGTGATGCTTTATTTTTTTTAAGATTTTCCTGGTTCTAAAGTTACATCTCCATGCTACTGGGTTGTGTTGTTACAGGAAGTCATTACTGCCCTCCAAACACACACTGATCTATTCATACACACACTCCCCATCACCACACACACACAGTTCAAAGGGTCAAACCCTTGTGATTCATGGAAGTTTTATCTCGCTGCAGGCGTGTAGCCCAACACATTCTGTTCTCCTCGGCTGGGTCTCAGGACAAAACGACTAATTAGCTGCATCATGATCTCATTGGCCCGAGCGCAGGGTGAACACACACTTAACACACACACACCCTCTGTTGTCATGGAGATGGAATGGTTTCAAAATAATGAAATCGCTGTTGTATAAAATTCAGTTGAATTTTGAGCAGGGTTCAAGGCTGATTTAGACTTTTGTATTTTCCCACTATATCTGTAATTTTACCGTTTATTTGCTTGTTAAAGTATTCACGTTTACCCAATAATGTTATCCTTGTAACGGTGGAATGCCTTTCAGACACCAAAATTCTCCATGAAAACCAAAAAAGAGCTAACATCAATTCATGACCCCTGGAGAACACTAATGTAGGGGCTGCTATCATGGCCGAAAAATGAGCAAAAGTACAATTTCTTCCCTCTGGTAATTACAGGCCAAAAGAAACACCAGTATTATAATGGTTTCTTAACAAAAAACATTTTAATTTCAGTCTGACTTTAATCCTGTTTAAAACAGCTAGGCACATCACAACGAGTGAAGAAAGAATTTCATAAAGAACTTCTCTTTTTCTCTGGTTGCAGTCTGTTGTTGAACTATTTCTGTCAGAGCAAACTTGAAAGTGAACTTCAGTCCCAACTCAATTAAACCCGATTTACTGACTTCGACATCCGGCTCTGCTTCATTTCTTCAACCTCTCCTTGCCTTTTAACACGTCCCACGTGAATGAGGGATTAGGGAATGATGGATAGGAGAGATGAGAGCAACGAGAGAGGGATGAGAGGAAGACTGCTTTGACAGTTTCCATTAGTGATGAGGGACAAAACTGAAAGAGCATCTTGTCTCTTCCTCTCACTTATGTAATGCACTCAGACACACACTTTTTGATCTGCATTAGAGGCTTGTTTACCAGTAACTTTGCTTTGCTGTGCAGTATATGCACCTTGCTGCTGTAGTGTGGATGGAAGGAATAATATAAAATGATTGCTGAGCTGCTTAAGCGACTAACTTATAATACAGTAAGAGGAGGAGTCTATGAGTCACCCGGCAGCGCAGGTATAAATATACAGGGACTGAATGATCTACTGATGGGAAGCAGCAGTCAAGCCTCTGATGGAGCTCTCTGTTACTCTTTAAGTAGCAGAGCTGTTTTTAATTCTTTTGAAGTCCAAGTCAAGCCGGAAATCAATTCTATTCTCAAGCGTGTCAGAGCAATTCCAGTCAAGCCCCAGTCAGTCAAGACAAGTCTCAAGTTGTTTAGGATGAGTCCAAATCAGGTATCAGGTCTGTCAGAAACATTTCATTTTCAAGTCTCAAGCAGTTCTAGTTCCAATCAAGTACATGTCATCTGAAACAAGTCCAAGTTAAGTCTAAAGTCACTCAGAACAACAGTCAAGTCAGGACTCGTTGAATCTGACCTGTGTCCCTTTTTTTTTTATTGTTCTGGGATTTTACCAAGCAAGTTTGACTCGAGGCCAAGTCTCATGCCAAAAGCAACTGATTCCTCGTTGGAAAGTTATGGTGCTGTAAAGAGTGCTTTAAAATTAAAAAACGACCTGAATTCACCTTTTATTTTTCATTTTGACTCTTATATCAGACATTGACAAAAGAGCCCTTAGCAACCCTTTTTCTGGGTGTATTATGTATCTTCTCCATCCATCCATCCAGCTTTCCACTCTGCTGGTGTGTACTCCATCAGCCCAAAACATTATCTTATTCGGGACTGGTTGCCAGACATCTGAACCGGATGTAAGGGAGCCGGTAGCAGCCGCTGGAAAGTATGTCATCCACTTCCTGAGAAAACATTCCTGTCCGTATTGTTGTGGTTGTTTTATTAGCATTGTGTAGCCCCTGTGAGGGCTTGATAAAAGTGAAATGGTGCGAATACCGGAGAAAGGTTGTCCAACATGTCAGTTAAAGTTTTTACAAGGGGATAAAAGGGTGGGAGAGTTTGATTGTTACGTAACAAGTAAGAAAATACAAAATACTAAATGTGAATTTCGACATTCCAAATGTTGTAAACCTTACTACGTCTACATCAGCGCACTGTATGTCAGTGGATGTTCTCAGTCACTTTTCAAATTTCTCTCATCCTTGTAGGGACTAGCTTGATCTCACACATTAAGCAGCTGTGCAACATCACAGCGAGACATTGCCTCTAACACTAGAGAGAAAAAAAAGTTACAAAACCAGGACAACTTAGCCCCGACTTCAGGATTTGTGCTTTCTTTAGACTAAAAAGACAGATTCAGTGCTGTTCTGTGTACTGCAAACAAATCTTAGACCAAAACAAGGACATCCAACAACAAAGTGCAACCATTACAGGTTTTTGATGACCAATATTTGAAAAATAAAAAAAGAAAGAAGAAGAAAGTGAAATCTGTTTTTTGGGGGGGTAGGGGCTAGGGCTGCAACTAACTGTTATTTTTCTGGGGATTATTTTCTAGATTTATTGCCTGGTCTATAAAATGTCTGAAAATAGTGAAAAATGTCCATCCTGGTTTGTCCAAGTCCAAGGTGATTTCTTTAAAGGTCTTGTTTTATCAGTCCAGGATCTAAGGTATTCAGTTTATTGTGATATAAATCAGAGAAAAGCAGGAATTCTCTTTATTTGAGAGGCTGAACAGCTTTTTTTTTGCCATTTTTGCATGCAAAAAAATACTTTCATAATAAATTGATCATTAGAAGTCTGCAATTTATTTGTCTGTAGACTGACTAATGAATTAGTCGACTCATCGTTGCGGCTGTAGTTGGAGCAGTAGGTGGACATGCTGGTATTAGCATTCAGCTAGAAGCACTGTTGTGTATTAGTAAAGCCATTTGGTATATGTAGCATTAGGGTTGCTATTTGCACAGCTTGGTTTCACCAGATTTAAGTGATTTCAGTTTGGCCTGGGTTGGTCCAGTGTCATGGACATCAGTTCACACGGAGACCTTAATGAGAGCTGCCACTGTGCCTGGGCGTGTCTGAGCCCATTCTGTAGAGTGTGTGTGAGTTTTTATAGTAGGCTATGTGTGTGTGTGTGATCTTCCACATTTTGTACGTGTGTCACCTCATACCTTCTCACATTCCTGCAAGGATACACGTGTGTCCTGAAAAGCATATGTTATGTCTGTGTGATCTCACCCACATGCCACAAATGTGCCTTACCTCATGATTTCACACATCCCTGAAAGTTTGAGACAGAGCATGCATGTGTGTGTGTGTGTGTGTGTGTGTGTGTGTGTGTGTGTGTGTGTGTGTTCAAGTTCACTGAGCCGTCCCGGGGCGCGACACCAACCAGCACAAACATCTCTCCTTTATCTTTGTCATTTTTTCCAGAAAGAAAGAATGGGGGGAAAGAAAGGAGGGGTATTGTTTTTGCTAAAGGAGTGGAAAAAGAGAGCGAGGTTTCCCCTGAGGGTGTGGCTGCACTGTGATGTCATGTGGTTGCCATGGTTACAGTGTGTAATCATTGTGTGTGCATGAGAGGAGACGTGATTTGGAGTTCCTGTCACGCATTGTTAAGAGCCAGACAAACAGACAAAGTGCAGTCTTTTCACACACACACACACACACACACACACACACACACACACACACACACACACACACACACACACACACACACACACACACACACACACTCTGGCAGTGTGATGTTATTGGCTCTTAAAGCAGGTGGAGGAATACAATCAGACGTGTCAAACTGGCTCTCCTCACCACAAGGCCTCCTCTTATTTTTTACTATTCAAATAAATGTCTATAAATAGGTGTGTGTTTCTTTCTGCATGTGCCTGTTATTGTATGGTATAGAAATAATAATAATTTTACTTAGAAAGCACTTTATAAAGATAGAAGTGCAAGTTTATATAAAATAGGTTGAAATTTAAGTAAAGTAAAGAAATAACCACAACCATAATATGCAATCATACGTGTTAATCTCTATAGGGCACATATATATAACCATAAAGCAGGCAGAATGCCAATAAAATTAATTTAAAACAGATTTGTGCAAAATATATGGCAGTGGATATGAAATACTGAAGGGATACTGAACAAGCACAATTAAAATATATGATGATATAAAACACCATAAAATGGTAATATAAAGAGGAAATATGAAAGTGATGCAATAAAGAAAACGTAAAAAAATGTTCTTTATTCCATCACAGCAGCAGTATTGGTCAGAATGTCTGCACCATGCTATCAGCTCTCTGAGGCCAAAGTGTTGGACTGCCCGACATCGCAATCCCTACAGCCACTCTGCTTGTGGACCTAAAGAGAAAAAGAACAACACAATAAAACTTACTGTATACATGCTGTGGTCAGTTAGCTGCAGTAAGTGAAAACATAACCAAGAAAAAGGGATAGCAAACCTAAAAAACCTTTAGCCATTAATGTTGCAGGGGAATGTGTTCAGTCTTCAGTTTCATCTAATCTGTCTAATCTGTCACTCTTCTTTTTTCCCCTTCTTCTGTCCATCAATTCCTTTTCCCATTCTCTTTTCCCTCTCTCCTTGCTTTACCCTTTTGCCCTCCCTCTCTCCCTCCCTCCCTCTCTTCGACCTTATCGCAGTGTGTGGTACTGAACTGGCCCAGGGAGGCTTCTTTGTGCGACAGGGTGAATACATCTGTACTCTGGACTACCAGCGACTGTACGGGACTCGCTGCTTCAGCTGCCAGGACTTCATCGAGGGGGAGGTGGTGTCCGCCCTGGGCAAGACCTACCACCCCCGCTGCTTCGTCTGCGCCTCCTGCAAGTAAGAAACAGGATGTGGGAAGTTGGGTCCAAAACCATATTTCATTTACGTGTGATCTAGTTGCCTCTGCAGTTGTTTCCTTGACTTCACATCAAAGTGTTGTATATAATGCTTTAAAAACACAATATAAATGCAGATATTAGGTATTAGATATTATATAGTAGTTCAGGATGGGAGTGAAAGGTGGGTATTGAGTGCTGAGGGTTTAGACAAAGGAGAACATGTTTTAATCTGGGTTTAAAGGTCAAAGTCAGGGGAAGTCTTATATCTTCTGGAGGTTTATTCCAGCTTTTTGGTGCACTGTAAACATGGGCAGCGGCAGGTCCCCCACACAGCACCCTACTTTGTGCCATTTTCTTGTGCTGAACCATGTCTCTACTGCTGCAGCTCCACCAGAGGCGCTATTCATCAGCACGCCCTTTCCATTGTACTGCCCCTGCCCAACTCACTCTGCATTCAACTCACTCACTGCTGTAGTCTGAGGGGAAATTAGACTCATGCTACTTTCCTTCCACATAGAAATGAATGGTAAACAAATGCTCTGATTGTGTCATAAACAGGGACAGAGAAAAACTGTTGATGAACAGAAACAGAGGAACTGAACAGCTGAAATTCAGGTTCAAGCTAGAAAAGTAGTGAAAGCTGATGTGATGATAGTGACAAATAAATGAAATGGCACTGTTTCTCTATTATTGCCTGCACATCCACAAGAGCTTATTTTATAGGCAAACATTATAATCTAACCTCCGTACAGTGCCATGCCCTGCAGAAGAAACTGAACAAGATACCAATTTCTGTGCCACTCCAAAATGAGTACTGGCCTCCGCCTGGCCACCCTCATGAAAACTGCCTGGCTCAACCACAGATAGTAAAGGCCTCGGCATGCTTCAACCGATGTGTTTGTTGGATTGTCGGACGCCTGAATTGCCAGGGCTGTGTCCGACAATTTTCAGAAAAGACAACGTGGTAATCACTCCCACTTCAGTAACTGGTGTGTGGAGGTAAGGAAGAAGGCAGGAACATTCTGAATGCACTGAAGCTTTCTGACGTGCATTTTACAGAACTTAAACATCTCCATTCTACCTCAGCATACACCTCTAATGTACAGCTTTATCCACATTTGTTGCATTTAATAACACTTGGAACAACGCTTTTAATAACAGGAACATGCACACCTGTATTTCATTCAGTTGTTTTACATTCAACCCTGACCCTTGAACCATTATGAAGGTCATACAAGGTCTTGAACATATTTAAATGCTACATTAGTGAGTTAACATAGAGACAGCCACATACTGTGTCAGCACTGAATAGGCTTACTGTGTTGCCTGGCCCAACTGTGGACTTTTACATGACCCAAAATAGATGTTTTTGGATTTCGATTGAGCTTCTCAGAGGAAGATATCACACTGGCAGTGTGTTTCTTTTACACATATCATCAACAGCAAGACCCCTATGGTGTGGGTTACATTTACATCAAACTATAATATACACACGTATAAATATAGGAAAGACACGTGGCACTGTGAGTCACAGGAATCTTCACCTGTTTGCAGCCATGTGTATGCTGTGTGTGTGTGTGTGTGTGTGTGTGTGTGTGTGTGTGTGTGTGTGTGTGACCAGTGTTGTTTCTCAGGCCTAGAAAAGGTAATGGGAGCCTGTCTCAGGCAGGAATTCTAAGTGCGTGGTCAGTCTGTGCGGCCACTTAGCCCATTCCCACAGCTAGTGTTAAGTGTCTTTTGAACTGGGGGTGGGTTTTCTGTCTGTGTGTGTGTGTGTGTGTGTGTGTGTGTGTGTGTGTGCATGTGTGTGTTCATACTATCATACCTCGGTGATCCCGATGCTGAACCTGAGATCAGAATGTTCCAGTGTGGCATTTGAGGTTTGTAATGTGATCATCAAACTCCTGTGCTCCTTTTATAACAAATATCGCTTTTGTGGTGGCAAAACACACAGGCTTATTGTGCAGAAAATAAAAATAGTGCTGCAGAGAATGAGAGCAAATGCTGCTTGAGATTAGACTTCAGACTCAGCTGTGTCTGTGTGTCCTATGGTCACAGTATCAATAATTCATCAAGAGTAATCTATCTCTGTTTTTAACTCACTGTCTGGGTTTCTTTGTGTTTTTGTCTGCGTGTGTGAGTCTGTTGCATGCAGGTGCTACTTCACATTTCACCTGCAACTGCAACAATACATGTATTAATCTGCCTTAATCTCTCTACATACACCACGTTCATCAACACTGATGCACTAATGCATCAAGAAAAAACACAAAGAAAATTCCATCTAAATGAACTCAGTTTCAATTAAACACGTCAATTGAAAGAAATGGAATTAAAAGAACCAGCACACATTCTTTCAGAGCAGAGTCAACAAACCTTTAACAAACCAATTTCCCCCCAGGGATCAATAAAGTATTTCTTGTTCTGATTCTGATTCTCTAACCTGACAGTGATGAGTGAAATAAACTTAAGCTCTCATGTAACAAGGCACAATAAACTATTGTTTGTTTGTATTCTGCCATACAAAGCAGACACATGCAAGTAATTGTGTATTTGGTCCTAATTAAAGACCAGGAGGGGAAGGATTGTTTAGTTTGACTTACAAACAAGACTAAGAGTAATGCTAGCAGCTGTGTGAGGTTGTAGGACCTACTAAGGGACATCAGTGCTTTAAGCTAAATGCTAACTTAAACATGTTAACATGTGACACTGCTAGCATGCTAATGTTTAGCAGGTAATGTTCACCGTCTTAGTATAGCGTGTGAGCATGCGAACATTTGATGATTAGCACTAAACACAGTACAGCTGAGGGAAGGCCATTGGTTTTGCAGGTGTTCGGTCACCAAATGTATTTTTGGCTTAATTAAAAGTGATTAGAGTTCATCCAGAGGTGGACACAAATGTATGTACCAGAGTTCTTATCTGTCCATCCAGTAGTTGTTGAGACATTTCACTCTGAACCAACGGCAATGTCATGGCAAAGTTTCGTCAACAACAGTTTTTCACTAATGAAAACAATAACTAAATAAAATCGGTCAAAAATGATGATATCTATCGACATTTTGTCAACAAATGAAAACTAGATAAAAATGTTAGGGAGGGGAAAGTTGGGAAGAGATCCAATCAGAACAAATCTCTTTGCGTGGAGGTTAGATGCAAGCTTACGTTACTTATCAACTAAGTCAGTGTGTTTTTGCTAAACACAAAATACAATACACTAAAAGAAACCACCACTGTCCTGTACTGATTAAAGAAGTTGCTGATCTTAGATCGTAAATTGATCTTATTATTCATATTAGGCATTTCATCCAGGAGTATTTAATGAGTTTGGAAATTCTCAAGAAACGTTTAAATAAACTAATTTTAGTTGATTAAATTGAATGTATATGTATTTAACTAAAGCTTAGAATATTTAGTCAACTATAACTAAAACCATTCAGATTACTACAATATGACTAAAACTAAATAGCATTTTAGTCAAAAGACCACGACTCAAACGAAATCAAAACTCTGCCTTATGGTGGCACTAGAGGAAAGGTCAAAAGATCTCCAGTCATCAGGTCGCAGTGAATGTCTGGACAACATTTCATGGCATCAGTTCAGATTTGCAAATCTCATGAATAAAAAAGAATTGCTATATGTATAGCACTTTCAAAAAGCAGATGTTTATAATACATAAAACAAATGTAAAAGTTAAAAAGGGCTATGCAAGATAAACATTGCATTTGGGGACAGGCCAAACTATATACTGTGAGTGAGACTTTAAAATAGATATCAAGCCTCAATATATCAACCTTAAAAAATAAATGTTGTGACTGTTTATATGTGAGTAGCTGGCTGTGACAGTGTGACAGCAGCTCTGATATCGCATTTCTGAGCTGTAGGAAGCAGCACGTGGCAGCCAGTCAGAGCCTCCTCTGCCAAGGAATCATCATTCCTTCTGTGCTTGACTCAGTGACAGCAGCTGTGCTGGAGCAGCACGTGCAAACAGCCGAGAGGCATTAACGTTGCTTCATTGTGTTTGTATTGTCCCTCCTAACAGTATAATGGCATTTGTCTCTAAAGGAATTTTGGCTGGTGAATGAAAATAGAATGAATCAATGAACTAATTTGATAATTTCCTAGCAGCATGCTGAAGCCAGTGTCAACAAGCCTTAAGCCGCTCTTCTTCAGTTGCCGACTAGATGGATACATTTGTCTCATAAAAACATAAACTGGATTGTCTGGTTCCAAAGATAGCGCAGGAGCATTGTCATGTAGAAACATGAAAGGGCCAAACACACGCTGTTGACACAAACTCTGGAAGCATACATTTATTGGGCAGAACAAAATTAAGCTTATGAATCTAACTCTCTGAATGTGAACAAGGTTGTACTTTACTGTTCAGTTTGGGGACCATGTCAAGCTTAGTTAGCTGATGTTCGACATCATACAAAATCCACTTTTAGGCTGATGACACTGTTATTTACTATTCTGTACCATCTCACAAAGAAGCTTTGTGTAACGTAACACTAAACAAAATTAAAGTAGTTCTAAATGTTTAAAAACAAACTTGGTTAACACATTCTACGAATAAATCCTACCACCTGTTACAACTTTTCCCTGTCCTGAGATTGAGTCAGTGTCTGTCCACAAATATCTTGTGTTTGTAATCAATAACTGTCTTTCTTTTAAGCCTCATGTTAAATTGCATCAGAAGAACCATCCTGGAGGACTGGAGGTGGAATTTTGAAATAGATGGAAAAGCAAATTAAGCAATTATTGGGATATTAGTTTAGTATTAGTGAGTCATCTTGTGAAGAGTCCTATGACAATTTGTTTCATGCTGAACAGTTTTAACAAATTTTACTTACTTACTAATTACTTACTACTACTTGATGGGTAATATAATGCTGATATATATAAAATCTATAAAGTGCAAGATATTGAATTAAACATTAATCAAACAAAAAAGACATATGAGATCAGCATTTCTAAAGTCCTGGCTATGGCCATGTCCAACATGTCGCAACAGTTTTGGGACAGTCTGTCCCTTTAACTAAAAATGTCCACTAAATATTCCTGCTTCATGATAAGAAGGAGGCTCCTCCCTGACCACATCTAGTCATCAGTATATTATTATTGTTTTCACCTCATGTGTCTGGGAGGATTGTAGGAATGTGTCTGCAATGTAAAACTTCCCTACCCTGCTGAGTCACCCAATACAGTTTTGTCCAGTGATGGCCTAAATAAGCTTTGGGATGCACAAACTGTATCAGCCAATGCCCTTATCTGATGTTCTGTCTGTTTTCTGTTTGTTTGCAGACAGCCGTTCCCGGCCGGTGACCGAGTGACATTTAACGGGAAGGAGTGTATCTGCCAAAAGTGTACCCAGCCTCTCCCTGCCAACAGCCCTGCACCCATTCAGGCTGTCCACAGTCAGTACTTTGTTTATTTCTGTCTCTCTCTGAAACATAAATCATGCACCCTGCAAACTATGATTTATGACACTGCTCGTTATGGTAATGTTCTGTCCTGTCCTTTAAATTGGCACTTTCTTAAATTGTGTTAAGTCATTCCACTCTCAGGAAACCAAAATGTCCAATGTTTTTTTCGTCGTTTTGCTTAATGAAACCAGAGAACTGTAGAGGGAACTCTTCCACTCTAGAAAGTCAGCTTCAGTATTATTTTTGATCGAATATCAACTGATGTCCCTTCATGTGGTTTTCCTCTTTGCAGACTGCTGTGGCTGTGGGAAGGCGTTTAAGAATGAACAGTCTCTTGTAGCCCTGGACAAGCACTGGCACCTGGGCTGCTTCAAGTGTAAAGTCTGCAACAAGGTGCTCAATGCCGAGTACATCAGCAAGTAAGTCAGCCTGGCTTCAGAAATACAGTGCTGTAACTACACTACTTCATTCATACTATTGTCTCAATGGCAAGTGATCCTGCATTTTAACCAATTATCAGATAGTTAGTGTAAAACTTCCTGTTGTCTGAATGTAAAGCATTCTACGTTTTCTTTGACTCTGACTTTTCCTTCAGACTTAATAGTGTCCAATATATACCAATCAGGCATAACATTATGACCACTTGCTGTTTTGGAGATGCTCTGAACCAGTCGTCTAGCCGTCACATTTTGGCCCTTGTCAAAGTCACTCAAATCCTCTCGCTGCCCATTTTTCCTGCTTCTAACACATCAACTTTGAGGACAAAATGTTTACTTGCTGCCTAATATATCCCACCCACTGACAGGATCCATGATTACCAGATAATCAGTGTTATTCACTTCACCTGTCAGTGCTCATGATGTTATGGCAGATCGGTGTATAAAGACCACTGCTTACCAGATAGAGGCTTATTGGAGGGGCCGGAGTTGAGATTCACCGAAAAGAAATGTAGGATAAATACCTACACCTCTTATCTGTGCAATATTCTTTTAATAAGGTCAGTTTTTGGTCAGACCAAGAATTAATTTCATTTCAAACCCTTATTTAAACTCAAAGAACCATTGAGGTTGACCTAATTTACAATGATGTCATGTTACAGACAAATTAAAATTAAATAGGACAAAACACAGATGAGACAGAAAAATAATCTGAAGCAGGGAGGTGGGTGATCATGGTTATCTAAGGTTAGTGGGGTATTGATTTTTTTGAAGATCATTCCAAGGTCCCACCATTTAGGTAAGTTTGAAAGGGTTCCAAGTTCCAAAAAGGTCATTAACATCTTGATATTCACTACATAAATACTACTCTGATCTGAGCATATGGATGCTTTGACTAAATTTATTCAAGGTTAAATAACAGTATTTCTTTACCCTGCAATTTTTACAAGAATGTTTTGATTTTTTACTTCAGAAAAGGAAACACACAATTCATGAACATAACCTCACCAATGTTTTCTGTGCCTAGATCTAACTAAATCTTAACCATATGGTGTAATATCAGAAAATTTACAGTACTATTGAATTGAGAGTATATGCTGCTAAGACAGAAGGCAACAACCCTAATTAGCACTGATCTGATCAATATTTTGACAGAATGTATTGATATGTTTCATACATTGCTAGCTAAAAGCATTGTAATACAGTCTTATACTGCAATAATATGCTAGAGCTGTAAATTGCTATAAAAGTGTTTATAGTTTTATATGTGGTGTAAAATGTTTACACATGATCCAAATATAGTTCTGTCATCATAGTTCGATGTCTGCAGCACCTTCCCTAAGCACCCACTGAGTGCTGTCAGCTCAGACGGGGTGCACCGAGGATTCTGAGGCTCTGAGCTGTCTCCTGTGTGATGTGAAGTGAATCCGATGCCCTGTGCTGCCTCTGATCTGCTGACTTGTCCTGTGTTGTCCTGTCAGGGATGGAATCCCCTTCTGTGAGATGGACTACCACGCCATGTTTGGCATCCAGTGTGAGAGCTGCAAGAAGTACATCACTGGAAAAGTCCTGGAGGTAACATGGCAGCACTGATGGGTTGTATATAGAGGAAATACTGGGGGTGAGGTACTAAGGGAGGAATGTAGGAAATAGGCAAAAAGATAGAATAATGACCGATTCATGAATAGAATACACTGATAAACAAAGTTGAATGAATGAATGAAAGATGGCATTCTTATCTTTTCATGGCATTATGACTGTAGTATCCATTTACAGATGAGTACAGATAAGAAAGCGAATGAATACACGAAGACTAGCTTCTGGCTTGCTAGTTACTGTAGCTAGATAAAGAGAGAGAGATACACAGACATAAAGCTGAAACCTTTTCAATATTTGAACACAAATATGAAATTCATTCAGATAAACTTGAACGCAACCCACCTGCCTAACCCCTTAACTAATGTCAAACACTAGAGCTTACAGGAAGAGTTGCATGGCTATTGAATACAAATGATACTACTGTGTAATATTCAACAAATGACAGTACGAACATGTATTGTTCTGGAAGTAAAACTCAGCATGGAGTCAAGCTTTAGTGGAAATTAAACTTTGAAATTTGAAAATATTTAGTTCTTTGATTAAAAATCTAAAAGAGCAAGTTTGTGCGACTACAGATTTATTTCAGATAGCCCGCAGTACAAACTGGGTACAAAAAGCTGAAAAGACATTGGCATCTAAAGAAAGATGCTATCGAGTTGCATTATGGGAAGTGTAGGATATAGCAATTTTGGAAGCTTTACCCATACTCGGGACCAAAAGTCAGGATATCTCAACCTTTGCTGCTTTGACTGTCTCTCTTGAGTCCCCCGACTTTATGAAAGTGCAACATTAAGTCATAGGCGTGCCCCTTTAAATGGCATTGTTTATCATGTTGTTCTTTATGTCTTCTACTGTAATTATATTTGCATAATGTATCCTGTTATTTTATATCCCTCATACTTTTTATTCTCGTATTTCCACTTACACTGATTCCAGTTGACCCCATTTCCCCAAAGCCATCATTAAAATTTCATCAGCTCTCATACACTGCTAATGCAGATACATGAGAAAGTGCTTTTACCTGTGTATGTACAGACCTGGGGCCAGCTCTGTTTCATGTGTAGCTTTAGAGCAGAGTTAGAGTGGTGCACAGGGCAGCAGTGAGAGGTTAACAGGGTGAGCTCAGCTGAGATTGTACATCTGTCCCTCTGCAGCCTGCTGGGTGTCAGTCCACAGGGAATAACCAGCCAACCAGGATCTGCTCTCTTGTTGGCCCAGCTTTGCTATTCAGCACAATCTCTCTTCTCTCTCTCTCTCTCTCTCTCTCTCTCTCTCTCTCTCTCTCTCTCTCTCTCTCTCTCTCTCTCTCTCTTTCTCTCTCTCTCTTTGCTGTAGGATAATGGTTTTGACCTCACACACACACACACACACACACACACACACACAAACATATTACCTCTCCTTGTTCCCTTTTCCACCTCTCCCCCTCAGGCAGGTCATCCATTCATTGTCACTCACTCTCAGGTACCAGTCTGCCTCTGTGTGCCACACAGCCTCCTGTTCTAGAAAACATTCACAGCCACAGGACAGATGACACACTCAGCTCTCATCCCTTTCCAAAACATCATCAGCGTCTAACACTTCACATTTTTTTAAACGTGCAATTAGATAGGAGGTGTTAGACTCGTCATTGCCAGGTTGTCACTGTCATTAAGTCACGTGTGAGACTTGTGTGCGTGCTTTCGTATGACCTGATTCAGTTTGTGTGAACACTATATGGAGAAACATAGAGAAAGAGAAAGCTCCACTGTGAATGTAACTTTTGACAATGTGGGGAAGCAAAAACTAGAGTAAGAAAGTCATGCTGGCAGCTGCATCTTACACTCAAATGGACCAAAGTAGTCATCGGACTGTGAAATGGGGCCAACAATCTGACACTGGGGTGAGATTATTTCACTTTTACCTATAAATTTGCACAAAGTTTGGGAATTTATAGCAATTTTAAGACCCAATTTCTATATTTTGCTTTAAGAAAAATGGTAAATAAAGTAAATTCGAGGTTCTCTGCCCTGTCCAAGGGTTGGAAATATCATGTTGCAAAGATTCAACTCAGAAAATAGGAATAAATGACAATAAAACAGCAAAATAAGTAATGTAAAGGAAGGTTGTAAAGTACTTAGCCCTAACACTCTAAGCCCTAACACTCTAAGTGGCTGTAGGGATGTTATACAGGCCCTTACATGAGCTAGTCAACATATTGATTGGGTTTGCTTTCATTTTTAATGCAGCCATGCTGAATAAAATAACACGTCTCTTGCTGCCTTCATGAAATGAATTTGGCTGAAGTTCTGTTTATCTGTGATGTGGATCGTGATATCAGTAGCTGAGATTGCTGGAAGAGGTTATTTTTAATTAGGCTTACCTTTGCAGGGTTGTTACCACTGGTTTTACACACTCTGCTACTGGTCTTTCCGCTTATACATAGTGCCAGCCCGTACCGCTATGAAACTTCAAGCCATGGCTCAAGACTTATTGACCTTGTTATTTAATCAGAAAAGTCATGTTGAGATTCTCTTCTACAGCAGCAATAACAACGTGTTGCAGTCTAACTACAGCAAACCCAGCACATATGGGAGGCAGAGTTCTTAATTAGAAACCAATCACATGAAACGTCAACAAATCTGGGTATTTAATATAAGATGAAAATGTGATGCCCGGGAAAATAGACTAGAATAGAATATGGAAATAGTAGAAAAATATGTAAATAATAAGACCAAGATACAGGCTATCAATAAGGTGAGAATTGTAGAATTTTCAACATATTACACAGATAACTGGCTCTGTTGTTTCATTATGAACAAGCTATTATAAATAAAGAAATACAGTTTAACAGTTAAAAGTCAGTCAGCCAAGGCGACAGAAGAAAGAAAAGAAAACTATAAATAGAGTAACTGCATAAAAGAGGGCTTGAAGAAAGGAAATATAGTGCTTAATAAGTTAATCGGCATTCATTATTTAATAGGATTTAACTCACTGTGGATATGTTCTAATAAAATGGCATAGTTTGCATACACTTTATTAATAATCCTCTTTCTGGTTGTCTATAAGAATATTAATATTAATGCCCTGAGTTTTAGTGATAGATTGTGAGTGTAAAGTGAAGCAGTGGGTGAGAAAAGACAGAAGAATCTGCACAATAAGAGTGAGAGCGAGAAACTGACAGGGCTGGATGAGAAAGGGAGAAATCCAGAGCAGGGGGAGTGTGGCTTTAGTGAAGCAGTCTGTTGTTCTGCAGTGATGGAGGGATGGGACACGGGATACTCTCCTCGGGCAGAGAGAGGGATGAGAGGAGGAGGAGGAGGAGAGGAAGAAAGCTTTTAGACAGGGGGTCTTAGAAGCTCCTGCCGTGACCTCGGAACAACAGAGCAGGTTTATAGGGACAAACAACAATCCCTCTCTCTCACTTTCTCTCTTTTCTTTCATCACGTGACGCTCTCTCACAGTCTCTCCTCTCATAAACACCTATCAGGTTCCAGTATCTGGAGAGCAGCGGAAACATAAGAAATGAGATGAGAGCATGTTTCTGAGTTTCTCTGTGTGTGTGTGTGTGTGTGTGTGTGTGTGTGTAAATGACATCATCCACTTCCATTTCCTACAGGATTGTGTTGGGCCCTCAGGTATATACCACCTTATTTGGCCCTATAGTATGTGAAGCCAAAGTCCGTGAAGCAGGACTAAAAGCACCTGTACACACGTGTGTGTGTGTGTGTGTGTGTGTGTGTGTGTGTGTGTGTGTGTGTGTGTGTGTGTGTGTGTGTGTGTGTGTGTTTGTGTTGAGTGGTGGAGTGGTCTTGTGTTATTTGCTCAAGGCAGGTTTTTCCTTAACCTCTGTTCTACTTTCATTACCTCATTCCTTAAACAAGACAAGATGGAAACCTAGAATGTGGCTGGACCGTGTATGATCAGCAGTAGTGTCTATAATGTGAATTCACAGATATGTAACTGCTCATCTGCAGCCTTCTGTAGTGTTCCCAATAATATTTGTTCTCAAGATGTACTGAGGTACATCACATGACATAGTTAAGCTACATCTGAGTCAATAAATGTTAGAAATGCAGTTGCTTTCAACTAATATCTTAAGATGTTTGATTTCAAGAAGAACGTATTCTAATTATAACTATTCTGATTATCTATGAACTCCCCCTGCTCTTTCATCTGTTTCTATCTGCGGGATGTTTCTGGTTTTTCTATGACTCACTCTGTATTGAGTGTTTTGTCAGAGTGATTGTAATTTGGGTTGCTTCAACTGTGCTTTCCCTTTTTTAGTTCTGGGCCTTGGTCATATCTAGCAAACCAACTCGAATGTCCACCAGTTTTGAGTGGTACAATAGTAATTGGATGCATCATCAACAGAGGGTGCTGCACAATGTGCAACGTCCTGTAGAATATGACACACCCACTTTGGTTCCCAAGGAAGACCTGCTATTTTTTGGTTCCAGTAGGGAACCAACTTGTCAAGTTCTGAACCAATTTATTTTTGGTTGAAACTCCCCCAATGATTCAAGACTAGGTGCTTGAACCAGAACGAAGACAGTTACCTGTTGATGGAAAAGGCCTGTAGGCTGTGGGCTGCACTGGTTCCTTAAACTATAGCTGAAGAAAAAGTTGTTGTTGGAGCCAATTAACAGCGCTCAGTCCAACTTATACACAGGGTGAGAATGAAGAGGGGCCCATGTAGTATGTGGGTGTAGACTAAGGCTGCACTTATAGAATCTGGAGTTATGGTACATGTGGAATGTGGAAACACCAATCGACTGAACAATGGTGTTACTTCATCACTCACTCAGGAACTCAGGAAAGCCAAAAAAGGAAAGAAAGGTTTCAAACTGGGGTGAGTTAATATTGTATGATATTAGAGATTATATTACATGCAAACTAATAAAACATTAAATCAAATTTTCTATAGGGTAGGTCATCTGAGACATGCTTAATAAATCCAGGCCCAGCCCTTTGGTATCCATGGTTATTTTTAAATCAAATGTCAGCACACAGACTTGTCTCAGTGTATTAGTATAGAAGCCATTTCCAGCCACTCTACCTGTGCTGGGCTGCACTTTGAAACAGTAACAGAGAGACTGAGCATTCAAAATGTCATGGCATTTGGTTGAGATCAAAGAGTCTGATTTGTGGGGACGTTTTAAGTCAATAACTGGAGCTGGCAGCGGTGGAGGTTGAATCAATGGTCAGTGGCTCATTGCTGTGGCATTTATTTATTGCTTTTCCCAGAAAACACCTGTCAATCAAATAGTGTGAGAAGGTAATGTGATGTCTCTTTCCTTGGATTTGTTGATAGGCTCTCTGGACAGTATCAGTGGTATACAGTGTCTTCACCAACCAAAGTGTAGTGGAAGTTTATGTCTGCAATGAGCGCTAGGAAATCTAAACTAGCCTAGCAAAGAGTGGATTATGTATTTCAGTTTAACACAAAAAAAAAATACACTGGAAACAATTGTCCTTTGGAGAATAAGGAAAGTAAGAACCCATCATGCACCATCCATCACTGGTCACATTATCTTACATTACAGACAGCTGTAAAGTTACTGAACTTTGAGGCAGGCAATGCATTAAAATCCAAGTAACACTCAAGGTAGCCCTGCCATTAGGTTCACTCTCTTTGTTATGTCCATGAGAAAACATTGGCGCATGCCTGTGCAAAGCCATTGTGCCGCTGATCATGTGCAGGTAGCCCTGTTTGATTTCCCTCATTGACCATAACATTGCTTTCACTGCTCATGCTTCCAGACAAGTTGAAAATGTTTAACTCATCACCCTCGAAACTGCTCTGCGGATCATCCAACCACATCTAAAACCACTTTTCCAAGAGCAACAATTCATTTAGGAAACTATTTGTGGGCAAGTCTGTTGATTACTGCTATCCAGTACAGTTATTTATCCAGGAAGGTGAATGTTTTTCCATGAATAGAGTCTATAAGGTAACCTTAAGGTTTCAGTATGCTTAAAACAAAGTGCTTGTCAGATCGTCTCACAGTGTCTGATAACAATCATGCAATCAATCAATCAAGCTGTCAAGCTCTCTTTTTCATTTTTCACACAACTTCAGTCAGTTTTTGTGTGTACAACAAAGTGCAAGACCTTGAGTAGTTTGAGGAAAGACTTAAGGAAAGTTTGCATTGTTATCCCCATTTTATCCCACCTTTGAATGTGCCCAATCAGAACAGGTATTTGTCTTTTGGATGACATGTAGTACGACCTACTTAGTTTAAAGCATACTGAGTGTGACTATGTATAACAGGAAATCTACTGTAAAAGCTTGAACTGGATATAGATTGAATTTCTTTTGAGTAGGAAAACAGGTGTGTATTTTAAATTAGAAACTATAACAAAGAGTTTGATATAGGTACACTTGACTTGGACTTACACTTGATGATGGACTGACCTAGACTCTGATGGGCATCACTGATTTTCTGTGTGTGTTTGTGCTGTAGCCGTGTCTACCAAACTCTATTCCAATCTTCTAAATGGATCACCTCCCACGCCTGACTGGTTTCTGCAATTGCGAGATGAGGGAATGGACAGGGCATTATAGAGAGGATCATTTTGAGAAAGCAGATTGTCCGTATGTAATTGGGTAAACACAGAGGTAGAAAATGCTCGGCAGCTATTTGCAACTTCACCTGGCCTTTCACCACGCAGCTACCATGATCAGTCCCAGCTCTAAACCACGACTGTTTCAAAAACCTTAAACTCTGCAGGAGTCTCAGCCACAAACCTCAACCCTGGCTGACCAGCTACAGCCCCATTCCAAAGTAAAACATCCCATCATCAGCTTTCACGTTCATCCCCCTACAAAGCATCCTCAACCCCTCCTCTTCCTTGACTTATCAGTCCTGCAGGACATTGAATATGATAATTTTCCCCTCATGCAGCCTTGGATTCTGACAAAGGAAGGATTTGATTGCAGTGCTATCTCCTCTCCGGCCTTCTCATACTTTCCATGTTGAAATTTTAATCCAGTTCCGGCCTTTTATCTTCTGGCCCCGATGCTTCCCAGTCAACTTCTGTCTATCTGTTTCAAGTATGAGCTTCTGGCATGGCGTCCACAACACGCTGCCAGTTTTCAAGCAACTGACCGTACTTTCTCACAATAATACCTGGACCTGATGTCTCCTTGCTCCTTTTTGGTCAGTTCTTCATGTCTCGGGTTGCTTGCTCTCTCCATCTGCTGTCCATTTGGTCCAGATAAGCATTGAGCAGAGGTGTTATCCAAGAAATAGGGTGTTGACGTCCTGTTTTCTGGTATCGTTCCATATTGAGATGACACAGCAAAATGGACGGACCTCAGAGGGACTGTGCGTAATCAGGCCGCTGTTGAAGCAAGATGGGATGCCTTTGGGAGGCAGAAATCAGCAGACGTCCGATGACTGTTTTGTAAGGGGAGAAAAAAGAAAGACTTAATCGCAAAAAAGTATCCATCTTGAGTCGTTTAGCTTATTATTGAGTTCATAAATCATATGTGCTTTAAAACAAGAAGATCTGCCAACAGAGTGAGATAATTCTTGATTCCAATGATGGTTTTTGTTGTCACAACACAGAATAAGGCACCAGTATTGAGTAAAACACTGAGCAAGAAGAATGGTATTTGAATTACTCAACAGACTGTTGTAAATGTTGTGTTAGAAAGGAGGGGGTTTTTTTTAAGAGAAAATCTGTTTTTGGACCCACGGTTTGCTACTTCCAATCTCTGAACCAGCTGTGACAACTAAGAATGAACAGGGCACTGCGCCTCACTGATTGTTGCTCCCAGAGATCTTCACAGGTCCAAAATGCCAAAATGGGCCCATGGAAAACCCACCCAAAACCTGACATGCATACAGCAAAATGTGAATAGAATCAGAATCTGAATGGACACCAATTAGACCATAACAGTTCCCAATAGGAGAGAGAGAGACAACCAACACTGGAAGCAGCGTTTTGGACCTGGTCCAGCTGTTTTCCCAGGTTGGTTTTCAGTTACAAGGACCCCAGAAGACCTCTACTGTATATCCCAGTGGCCCTGTGGTTTGACAAGCCCAGAAACAATCCACACTATGACTTCAAAGCAATATCACAGACGCATCCATCCACTTAATGATGACCCCCTCCCCTCGCACTGCCTTGTGGGCTCTTACTCAAGCTCTGGGAAGGACATATCACCTCCATTAGCTTCTAAATGTCAAGCCACATAATAGCATCTCCATGCTAAACACACAGGTCATGATAAATGGTCAGACACTGCCGACTCAGTGTTTAGGTTTATTCGGACATTTGTTTTGGACATATCGAGTTGGGCAGTGAAAGACATTTTTTACTTCTGATACTGAAGCTGTTTAGATGAACAACTATTACATGCACCTTGGATTTTTTCATTTTCATGATTATTGATCAGTTGTAATTCAAGAAGGCAAATTTATTGGAATGCTTTGATATCCATGTTACTCGTGCATCTTTCTATCGCTGAATGCAACTGCAGTGCTCCATACTCAACACAAGTGCTCCACCTTGTGGCTAAATAATAAATCACAACCTTTTCTATGTTGTCATTTGTAGCTGGTGGCCCTTTAATCAGTGCTAATTGCACTCTGAATTACAATTAGCTTAGCAACACTCCCGGGACTGGTTATTCATGCTGCATCAGCATTTTTAATGAGCTAATTATGAATTATGTAATAAAGTGTGCCTTCAGGCATGCAAATAGCTTTTTGAGCTTGTGTACAGGCACAAACACCAATGTATCTGTATCATAGTTGGGGCTGTAGGTGTGATGGGAAAGAATACCATTTTTCCCAAAACCATTATGAGCTCTGAGTAATGAGAGAAGGCATCTAGAGATAGTTTTAATTCATAAATATGTTGGGCACTCAGCTGTGAAATTCACTGCCAGTGTTTTCTTGTTTGTCTATTATCCACCACACTGCACGAGTGTGTGTTTTTATTTTCTGTCTGTGTTAAATTGTCTTCATTATTACGACTAAACATTTACCAGATTATTCTTTTATATTATATTGCCATGTCTCCTAAGAACTAGTGAGGTAAATAGGAATGTATGGATCCTTCATGTACGGAAGCCAATTCCTGCCAGGAAAAGAAATAACATATATGAAAAGTTAGTCATGATAAAATACTAAAAAATACTCATGTGACTAAAAATTATATGAGATACTGGGTCACATTTGTGTGACTCAAAATGATTAGTTAATACTTCTTGATTATTAAAAATTAAGTGAAATGTTTGACTTAGGTCAATAGTCATAGTCATAGTTATGAGATAGAAAGTACAAATCTTGACATACTTAGTCAAAAGTATTCAGTGTGAGTACCATGAGTACTTAATTCGAACATTTTATCTTTTTTTCCTTATGGAATTGCTTTCTGCAACTGATTTTATAGGACTGGTGTCATTGTTTATTTTCTGTTTTAAAGGGTCACTGTTGATTTTAGGAATTTTACCATGGGGAGTACAGCTCTGTGACTCTGGTGAAGCTTTGTAAAGTCTGACAAAATATCCCATGATGAGGTCATCAGGGTTATCTGAGTTCTGAATTAATTTATAACAGAAACCCCATGTATAAACTGGTGGCGTAGAGTTTGAAACATGTGGCCATTTACATAGCAGGGAATGCCTAATGAAAAGATTTTATCCAGTTGCATTAAGGGAAGTGTAGGATGCAGTATATTTGGAGCTTGACTCATGCTAGGGGCTAAAAGTCTTACATTTGTACCTTTTGTAAACTTGTATGTTGCAAGTCCAGGAAGTTATCCAAGGTTATTACTAAACTGATTCAGTACCCCTTTAATAGTTCCCCTAAAGAGACCAAAACCAACAACAAGTGCTATCCTTCATTGTCCTAACCTGTTCTTGTTTATGCTCAACAGGCTGGAGAGAAGCACTACCACCCCACATGTGCCCGCTGTGCCCGCTGTGAGCAGATGTTTGCAGAGGGAGAAGAAATGTATCTGCAAGGTAAAAGCAGTTTAAATCTGTTCTTCTGATCCAAACATCAGGGTACTGTAGCTGTTTATGTCTGTACACAAAGGATTTAATCATAAAACACATGACTGTATTGTTAGACAATAAAAAGCACTAGAGCTAAACATCTAGTGACTGTTTTTCTTCATTCTGGTCTCTCTAAACTCTCAACACCCCTATTTCCTCTCACTAACACCAATATATCACCATAAACTCAGTGCATTGTGGACCTTCATGTTCCTAATAAACTTGGTTAGCGGCTTGGTGAATGAATCATGCACACGTGTGCCTGAGTCACACCGCCACACTCCTAGAGATGTTATTTACTGCTGCTATGGTGCTGACACAAAGTAGCAGCTGGTGCTCTGCCTTGGGTGCTCCATGTGCTTCAGCTCTTATTTAACTGCTACTTGTCACGTCAGGGTGAATTGATTTAGTAGCGGAAATAGATTTCTGAAAAAAATGTCAATACAACAGATGAAGAGATGAGTTACGCGTGTAGTTGCGGGCGGCTGTGGCGCAGAGGTAGAACGGGCCGTCCACTACTTGGAAGGTTGTTGGTTCAATCCCTGACTCCTCTTGCCACATGTCGAAGTATCCTTGAGCAAGATACTGAACCCCAAATTGCTCCTGATGCTGTGCATCGGTGTATGAATGAGTTAGTTTCTGTTCGATGGGCTGAACAAAATGAAGCCTAGTTGCTGTGATATTTTCGCTAGGCTTCAGAACCAAGCTGTTGGCGAGAAAGCAAATGGACATGTGAAAGGAAATTAAAATCTCAGTTTCTCAGTTCCTGTCTCTGTCTCTGTCTCTGTGTCTTCAGGATCTTCCATCTGGCACCCTCCATGCAGACAAGCAGCCAAGCAGGAGGAGAAGAGTAAGGTGGGTGGAAAAGACCGCAGAGCCACAACTGTGTACTTATCAAAATTGATTCAGTGCTTGAGGCTATTGCGTCACAAATCCCCAAATAGAACTAAAATAGATCCACATTAAACCACAGCACCTCATTTCTTAAAACACTTGGATGCCATATGGGAAGTTTTGAGATGTTGTTGGTTTCTGAATGGTACAGCTGTAAATGGAGAGATAAGATTGGTTGAAACTGAAGGCTAAGGTTCCAATTTTGTCTTTGACCTCCCTGATAAGCACTGAAACCCTTTGAAATTCAACTGTCTTGACTCCTTTGGGAGACCATCAGTAAGCGGCATAAGTGCCTACTATTTGTCTGCAATTTCTTTGTGTGTATGAAAACTGATCATTGCTGCTCCCCTCCAATCCCTTCCAATCATACAGAAGGCGAGCAAACTGTAGGGTTCAAACTGTGCATTTACGGTCCAACTACAGTGGTACTGGACCAATCAGCATTCTTTGAGGAACAATCTGGTGCAGTCAGGTTACTGCTTCTTAACCTCGTAAAATAGTCCCGTCATCACGGTTTCTGGCAGAAAGCCCTGACCATGTTGAATGCTGACTAGTCTCACATAGCCAGACTTATCGTCACACTTTGTTTTAGCAGGCTGGAGGTGAAGAAAGTGTGCGAAACTATGCAAAAATCAGAATCAGGGCGAGCGGTTTTCTAACAAGTGGCGCGTCACTCTTGTTCACTGGCAAACGGAGCAGGTTAGGATATCTTCATTGGGAAAAAAAGGGAAACAAGCTGATATTTGCTCATTCACATCGCTTCCAGTTAGATCAGTGGACAATGAGACATGTATCACCTGTCACTGAGACCCATACAGACACTCTGTACCTGTCCTCAGGTTTCTGCACAGCATAAAAGAGTATTCCCAAAGTCTATAAGGAGGATGTGACTGACTGATCACAGTGAAGAGGAGTTTAATCAAGAGTTCAGTACAAAATGCCATTATTATACCATTGTATCAGCAGCCCTGCAGCTTTACAACCAGTATCTGCCCTTCCTCCATCTCCCATCCTCATTCCTCATCATAACCCGTCTCCTCCCCAGAAGCAGGTCCGGATACAGCTCACTGACGTCCCTGAGCAACAGGTTGGTGCTCCTGTACGTCCTGCACCCACCCAAACCCCGCTCAACCCCCACCCACAACTATCTGCTGCATGGGTTGATCCTAACTGTTGACACCTTACTACTAGCCTATATTTGCTTCAGGTTGTTCAGCAGCCACACCCACAGGCCACCTACTGTAAAGACCGTGGATTGGTTGGCGACTGATGATGCTGATTATCAGTTGGTGCATGTACAGGGATGCTTTAACAAGCAAGTAGAGATGACTGCTGTGTGTCAGTACCTGCATCTGTGGGGTATATCAACTGTATCTGTAGAGTAACACTCACACAACTTGACAGACAGAGAGGACGTAACTGCTGACAATGAAAGATGAGAAAAAGTATTTCTACCAATATTTAGGGTAAAGAAGGGGAAAGTCCACTCTCTGTGTTCAACTTGTGTGCTTTAACAACAGCTGTGACTCGCCCGGCACAGCTTCACTAATATCTTTTTTAATTAAAATTTGCTCTTGTACTGCTGGGGATGGACAAAATGTACCAACAATGATAAAAAAAAGTCCATGATTTATATTCAGGCTAAAGTTGAAAATTGTTTCTGAATATACATTAAATACAGTTCCTAGAGTTCCTAGAGTGAGATGAGAAGATAAAATAAATCTCATGTCTGTGTGTTTAGGATGTGGTTAGCCTAGCTTAGCATAAGGAAAACAGCTAGCTCTGCAGTTCATGCAGAAAATCAAGTCAACACATTTTTAAAAATCCTCAATAATTTCTCTCTTAACTTCATTTAATGTCATTTTAAGGTTGCGATTAGACTCAAGGGTACGGTGAAGTTTATGTTAAGATAATTATATTTTGGATGTATTTAAGGGTTAATGTTAAAGCCACAGGACAGTATTAAAGGACACTGAGGCAGGCAGCAATGGATGGTGTTTATAGGCTAATTGCTTTTCTCTCATTTCTCTCTTTGTAAATTGAACATCTTTTATTTTCTATTTGTTGGTTGGACTAAACATGGGGTACCAAGACATCAGCGTGTGTTCTGAGTAGTTGGGAGAGGTGTTTTTCACCATATTCTGACACTTTACATACAAAATAAGCCTAACCATAGATCATTTATAAAAACTAACTACTGTACCACATGCTGCACTGAAGAGAATTTAATGTGGTTGCTTAAAGGAAAAGAAGGCAGATTTCAATTGAAAATCTGAGACAAATAACTCTTTACACAAAGCATGAGCTTAAATGAATGAACAATGAGTGTACCTAATATGTCTCTATCGCCTCCCTTAACCCATGTACATCCAGTGTATTTAAATATAGCTGTGTGTGTATGTGTTTCAGGTGACCCGGACTTCATCTGAGAGCATCACTTCAGTCCCAGCCTCCAGCGCCTCGGGCTCCCCCAGCAGAGTCATCTATGTAAGACTGCACCACCGCTACTCACCACCAGGGAGCAGCAGCAGCACATATGCTTTTCCCAAGCAGTCTCATAAATGATCTGTAGTCATATGTATAAGATCAGGAAAATGTATTAAATATCAGTACATTATGGATAAATGTCTTCTTCTTGCCAGGCCAAACTAGGAGAGGAGATGCTGGACTACAAAGACCTGGCAGCCCTTCCAAAGACCAAGGCCATCTATAACATAGACAGGCCTGACATGCTGTCCTACTCTCCATACGTCAGCTACCCGTCTGAGGAGAGGCACTACGGAGAGGTAAACCAGCCTCTTTCAGTACTTCTTTCTATCTTTATGCCTCTCTAATCCAGTGGCTCTCAAACTGCGCGCAGCCCCCCTGCAGGGGCACAGAGCCACTGCAGGGGGAGCGCACCGCAGTTTGAGAACCACCGCTCTAATCTAGAGGTGGAAATTAACCAGGTACATTTAGTCTAGCTCTGCACTAAAGTATAATACTTCTTTGTAAACATTTTTACACTTCAGCTTAAGATTTGGAAACCTATAATGTACAGTGGTCATTCTGGATGTATAATGAGTACTTTTACTTTTGATACTTTAATTCCTTTTTTTTTTTGTTGCAGCGCTGACTTTAGTAATGAATCAGAATACTGCTCAAATTTCTTTCTTCCTCTTTGTTGTCATCAAGTATGACTATCTCAATGATTAACTGTCTAATAAGACAACCTTTATAAAGGGCTAATCAGTTGTAACTAATGGATGTACTGGCTAATGAATCATATATTAGTAGCTTGTAGATGCATTACAGACTAAGAACAACTTTTGGGTTGCGAGGTTGTCAGAAATCTCTCCGGCTGGTGTTTTTAGTTTTTTAATTCAAGGCCTCCTTTTGACCTCTTCACCTGATCTGCAGAGCATCCACACCAAAGTCCCTTTATCAACAGCATTTTAACATTTACAGTTTCAGACATGATTATTATAAGAACTTTTTATTGATCACTTACTGACCTTTGGATGACTAATTAGACAGTGAGAAACCAGCGGCCCGTTACTGATGACCAATCCACATTTGTAACTGAGAACTGAAAGTAAATGACTTGACTAAATGAATCATTAGCTAGAGAGTTTTCACAACCTGGCAACCCAACAGTTTTTCTATTAATGGCCTATAAAACAATTTAATTAACGTATTAATTAAGCCTTTAGTAACAGTTGATAAAAACTTTATTTTGGGTTTCTTATTAAAAACTGGTAACCAAATAATAAATGATTCAAATTATAGACTGTGCTTTTTTAGGATGAACCACGATGTTGGTGGTTGTGTTAATGATATATCAGCAGATATTCCTTTTTTATTATTATGATTCTATTTTATTATTGTTTGTTTTTAAAGAACTGTGAAATAAACATGTCTGGACCAATTATGTAATGGTGACACTGTGAATGACCTCGAACAGATCTTTGGCCTTTCCATACTAACATTTACTGTCACTTATCAGCCAACAGATACCAATACAGCTACACTAGGCTAATACGCTAATACTGGCTGCTGTTTTGGCTGATAGAAGCTACTTTAAATATATGTAAACATCCAATTTGAATACACACAATTCTAACTTGAATATACCGTGTGTGGTGAAACCAAGAGTGAGTGAGATGCCTGTTTTTCCCAGCGATTTGATTAATGACAAAAGTTTGATTTGAATAGACCTGATTTGTTCTCCAGTTTGATTTGATTGAGCAAACATCCTTTTGTAGTCTCTCCCTTTGCCAGATTTGTTTTCATTTTTTCACCTTGCCACCCCTCCATCATCCCCCCTCACTCTGACAGTGAAGTCAGTAACAGTCATTCATCAGCGCTGTGCTTGCTGCTTTCTCACAAACACTACCATTCCTTTGCTGTGAGCGTGTAAATCGAACGGTATACTTTGGACCCGCTTCAATTCGCTCATCCATCCATCAGGAATGTCCTCACTGACTCACCGACATTGAATGATCACTCTCATGGTTGGATGGTTAACTCATATAACCTCACATATGAGTTCGTCCTAATCATTGGCTTTCTCCCACTCTTCATTTGCAGTCCCCCCAGCTGCTTTCTCCTACTCCTACTGAGGTAATACAATGTCTCACTGTGGATGTCGCACCCTTCATCCGGCTTTCCTGTGTCTGTGTGTGTGTGTGTGTGTGTGTGTGTGTGTGCCTGTGGGCGTATAGGAGTTGTATTACTATGATTGGGAAGGCTTGTGTTGGGTTTAAATGTTTGAAATTTTAAGGTTTTATTGTGTTTTAATGGTCCATAAAGATTTAGCTGATTCAATTAAATTATCAATTATTCATTAAAATGCGTTTAAAGGATAATTACAATTAGTTCACTACAACTTTGGTCTTATGTTCATAGTAATTTCTTATGTTATGTTATGATAATAATTACTAAGACATGGCAACATGGTGATCACTACTATGAAATCCAATGGGCAAGAAACACAAGCAGTCAGACATTCAGACAGCCAAACATTAGCTTGAATTAGCTTGAATTTTGTTTGAAATATAGTCATAAGTCTACGAGCATTATTTTCAAAAGTGAAACACTTTGTAACTGTATGCCAACCATCAAATAAAACAGGGGAAAGTAAAGATGTGACGGTCAGTATTCTAAGCCCATTGCTGACTGTACATTACTGATAGTGATCATCATTTACAGCGTGTCTGCCTCTTCACATTTTTGTGCCTATATTTTTGTTCGGCACATGTATTAAAGTCCATTTCTGACTTGAAAAACTGTATTTTCCATTTGTCGATACATGTTTTGAATCAGCCTGATCTGCTCTTGGACATACTTCCCCTGACATCTGTGTTATCTTGACCTTAGTACAATATTTTCCTGCAACATGATTGATCCGTCTCATTAAGAATGTATCAGAGATGGAGTCATGCCCACATTCTTCTCTGATGCTGTGATTAAGCAGTGAGGTAATGTTTGTTTCTTGGTGAAACACGAATAATTTTTTTTTTTTACTTTATGTGTTTGTGCGTCCAGGGTGACGGGGAGAAGTCACCCCGTCAGCGGAGGCCCTCCAGCCCCAGCTCCAACAGCTCCCTGGGGGGCTATGGACGCTACACCCCGTCCCGGTCCCCTCAGAATTACAGCCGACCAGGTATCTACCTCAAACACATACTACACACACAGCCCCATTATCCATATAATCCTTATATATGCTTATATATTATGTGAAGTTTGAGTTTTGAAGGATTACATTACCCATGAGTAAGATCACATGCATACTCTTTGAATGAATGCTAGGGAACAAGATGGTGGGGAAAATGCTTACTGTATTTAGGAGAAAACATCTGCTACAAACATCACAAATGATTCATCACTTCCTGCATTTTGAGAAGATTTCCTGCTGGTGACCATACCTAAAACCAGAAATTAAATTACATGCTTTCTCTATGGCTTGATTAAATTCTGCAACCCTTATATTACTCTGTCAAAACCCATTGGATGATCTGAAAACTGCATGGCTGTCAAGCTAAGTAAAAGTCTGCTATTTTTACCTCCTAATGAACTTTTCCCCCAACAGTCATTCTTTTTTAATACTTTATGTTCAAGCATTTCTTAAATTAGAAATGATGTTATTTCTTGTTCTGGGCCCGTATTTATCCAGCGTCTCAGAATCCCTACTAGGAAGTGTACTGACCTAGGACTACGAGCACTTTACCACCTTGCTGAGAGTTTGTTATGAAGCTACCGACACTGATTTTCCAGCCAGGAGTAGGATGACTCCTAAGAGATAACACACTAAACCACAAAGTAGAGATGATGTTTTACTGATGAATTGTCAATGGAAAACAAATGTAAATGCAGAATATAGCACTACTTATCTGTATGCAAAAGTATTCTGTAAAAATCAATGCTTATCTTAAATCCCATATTACAGCATAGTAGGCTGTTAAGTAAACATTGGGAAGCCACTTGCTTAAAAAGTGTTATTCAAAGGCTACATCCACTGAGTGACAAACCCTTTCTAGGCTGTGGCGCACCCCATGGAAAAAAAAGGAATGTTCGCTTCCACTGTAAAATTCCAACTAAAAATTAGTTTTCTGTAAAGTCATCCACTATTGGAAAATACATGCAAGACCCATATGATCATATCTTATCTTAAATATTATAGTCCTGCCTTTGGCGAATAAATAACTAAAAGAGGGTTTTGGCTGAATGTGCATTATTTTAGGCATTGTAAGAGTGATCAAAAGTTGGTTAATAACTGCAGAAAGTATTGGTTGTAAAAGATCCAATTCATCACTGCAAAGCTGCATTTTCTGCCGGAACGTTTTTTTCTGCGGGGACAAAATGATTCAGTTTCTGTCAAAATTATCTTTTAATAAGCTTGTTGTAATCAAGCCTTATCAAAAAACACCACTCCTCCCACAAAATGTCTCTGTCCGAGCACCGTGTCCTGCCAACTCACCCCTGGAGCTCTCCTGAAGATAAGATAGGAGTCATTTTCTAAGTTAAGAAAGTTGATGAAAAGCTTTTTTACCCTAGGCCTAAAAGTAGTTTCAGATGTGTGTCACTAAGAATTTCTGGTCATTTAGGACTGATTTCCTACTCTGAGACACTTATAGAGCTGGAGATAAATAGAGGCCATGATTTCGAATAATGTCAGTGTCACTCCATCTTAGAACTTATGCCCTGAAGTGTATTTCATTCCATTTTGACAATAATGTTAGGGATTACTTCATAAAATGAAAATAGCCTCTTATTTGTACACAACCAAAATATTATGATTGTAGAATTCTCTTATTCTCTTTTCAACAGATCTAAGAGATCTTTAAGATCAATATTCCAGCTTGACTGTCAACCTTATGTAAAAGGATCACAAATGTATTTGCCTGGATTTGTACTAATTTTTATTTTTCCATCCAAAATTGTATTTATTACCTTCACAATTTTGACTCAACATGTTTCCTGTGATCTGATCGGACATTCAGGGCCAGAGGTATACCTTGGTGGTAGACACAGCAGCCAGGCCCGTGACTCCAGTTCTCTCCCTTTGCCACCAACCCCCATGGGTACCATTAAGTACCCCTCCACCTGGGCCAGGGACTCATCTTCCCTCCCCATGTACTCTGGTGGGGCTGAAGGGAGTGGTGGTGTTGGTGGTTGTGGCAAGTACTCACCCACACCAGCAGGTGGCAGTGCAGGCTTGTCTTTTCACCTAAACCCCACCACCCTGGCCATGCTGCAGCAGCACAACTACATCCCTTACTTCAGAGGTATCAAAGCACGATAAGACCGAGACCTGGTCCAATACAGAAAATGGACAACGTGCTGGAATCATTGCTGTTGTCAAGCATTAGACAGAAACAAAATTCGTCAGCATTTTCAAGAACTTCCACAACGGTAATATTCCCAAGGGTCCCAAGGTGTTCTTCAAGCTGAGCAGAAGCCTGCAACCCTTGGATTTAGGTTTAAAAAATTTACCTTTAGAAAACCTGTAGCTAATTTCCGCACAGCAGCAAGGTCCACTCTGTATTTGACTGAGAAGAATGGAGTGCTGTGATACAACCACTCAACTGACTTCACTTGGCATGGACTGTGGTTAAGCACCAAATTAACCATGTGTTGGAAACTCACACTCTGGGTCTTTCAGTCTCTCGGTTCACCATAAACCCATGAGTCATAATAGGAAACAGAACGTCTGACCTTGTGTTTGCCGCATTTGGGTCTGTGACCATTGTTTGATCGCTCATGATGAAGATTTATTTTTGTTCATTCTTGAACCAAAGCCATGAAACTGCTAATGCTATGCACGATACCACACGTCCCTGAAATCAACATCACAAACCAGTACTTTACACATTGCCCTTGCACGATGCAACCCCTGCAGAAAGGCTTATCCAACCACTTCCCTTTGCTTCATTTTCTCCCAATCCCCTTACCCTTCAGGGTTCAAACAGGAGCCCCTACCTGACCCTAAACCTAGGACATCCCTGCATCTCAGTTTACCTCCTCCTAACGGTAAAAACACCAGTAGTCTTTCTCTTCTCTGTGTCTCCCCTCCCTTATTAGTATGGTTAGCAGGTTTTGTGATGTTGTTGTCCGGTATCGTGGTGTTGTCGGGTTTCATGGGGTGCATCAAGGTACATTCGTAGGACCACTCAGTTTTCTCATTCTGCTTGCCCTGTTCACTTGTGTCTGTGGACGTGGTTGTTGTCGTGCATGGTTTAACTTTATGTAGACTTGAGTGTGACCCTGATGCATTTGGCATTATGTTTTAGAGGACAGTTAAGGGGGATTTTATTTTTGTGCTTGTCTGTTCAGATTGTTGACCTAATTGTTTGCCTGCCATTGACCTTTAATCTACCCTGTTGTTTTTCCTGAATGATCCCTTGCACATTGTCATGTGTTAAACTTTAACCTTTGGTGTTAACCTGCTTTTGTCCTTGATGTAAATCTGATCGAGAGTGCAGGCTATGTGTTTTGATGACTGATAAACAGACACATTAAGGTTTGCAGGCAGGGTGAAGAGAATCATTGGTGTGGTCTGTTGTTTTGGCAGAGGCACAAGTAAGTACCTTATCAGCAAATGCATTCCTTGGAGACAACTCCTTTGGCCAAGGCACTGACAAATACCAAAATATAATGATTAGTCAGCATGTTTTATTGGAGACTCTCGAGAACTATTACAGAGAGAGGTATACTAGTCATCTGCAAATGTTTCATCACTATATTTTACAACAGGTAGGAGTACTGCAATTAAAAAAACACACTATTCTATTCTATTGGCTACACCATTGTACTTACCAAGGTAGTTGCTGAGATCTATGAACGAGTGGTCAGACCGTCATACAGGTTGGAAAAACCCCCAAATCTGTTAAGGCAAATTTCTTTGACTTTGCTTATACTATTTCCAAGATCTCATCAATTATTTTGGTGAGTACAGGATCAGTTTTTTCTTATATTTTTTAAATATATCCTTTGAGCTTTTTGCCTTTAATGGATAATGACAGCTGAAGATAGACAGGAAAGAGGGGTAGAGAGAGGGGATGACATGCAGCAAAAGGCCACAGGTCAGATTTAAAACCCATGGCCGCTGCAGCAAGGACTCATCCTTGGTACATGGCACCAGGTGAGCTATAGGGTGCCCCGAGTACAATGTTATTATGACCTATAAACCAATGGTCAGATAAATAAGTGATCATAAGTAATCACTTCCTCACTGAAGAGATCAGCAAACAGCCTTACCATTAAACTTGATTTTTCCATCTGTGGTGTTCCTTCCAGACATTACTTTACAGTTTAATGTCATGATTATTCATTCAGCACACCTCACCAGTTTTCTCCATTCTGCATTAGTGAAGATAGCCTAGATTATTGTTAGAGTACAGCATTTAAAAGGTAAATTTTGAATAAAAATTAATGGCCCTAATTTGAAGACTTCCTACAGCAGGGCCATTTTCATTTATAGATATCGTTTGCCTCAAAAGGGAAATTATTTTGCACTGTACAGAACCCTTACAGTAGGAACACTAACATATGCTTGCTTGGAACATGACTGATTAAAAGGAGGAGGTAGAGAGGGAAACAGCATGAGCTTCCTCTCAAACATTTGCACAGAAAATCACGAACACGCGGTCCAGGGTTTTGGTGGTTTTTCCATGACAGGGTGGAGAGGCTGAGAGGGAGTTCTCCGATGGGGAAGATGAAAGCGAGGAGGGGGAACGTAGGAATGAAATAGCCCGAATGGGCCGAGCTGTAATTTGGGGTCTGGTTGCCAGTTGCAGTGGCATGTAACACAGTGCGCCGCTAGCCTTGTTCAGGCCCTAGCGGTTCCTAACATGCCGTGAAAGAGGGATATTTGTTTTCATGCAACAGGCTTGTGCTTTAATGAGCTATCAGGTTTCTGCAGATCATTTTCTGCGGTAGTAAGACTTAAGCAAGACTCAGGCTACTTAGATGAGTTTTCTTATGATGGAAATTGATGAAGAGTTGAGGAAAGGACCTGGCAAGAATGAATATGGCATGCTTTTGTTTTTATCTCCCTGATTCCTTGTAAATGATCCCAAAACCATCTTTTATATCTTGTTATTCTGTTAATGGTTTTTGATTAATGAATGGCCTTCACCTTTTGTCAAATATGTAATCCTTTCACATGAATTATAAAGCATCTCCTCCCTAAACTTTGCAAGCCTCCAACACCTCCTGCTTTAACTCCAGATGTTTTGTATGGAGGATCTGCCCTACATTTAAACCTGCACTAACAGTACTCTGGTGTGCGTTTATGGGCATGTGTACGTTTGTGTGTGTACGTGTAGGAGATCACTCAGACCAGCACTAACAGAACTGCTGTGTTTGAGTCAGTGATCTCATCCACTTGCATCCAGATTGCTGCCGATGGTTCCTCACTGTCTGGGGGGAGGAGGGAGTGTGTGTTCAATCAGCTAACACTCTCTTTCATGCACACTCTCAAACTCTCTCTCTCTTTCTTCTTCAATCTCTGGATGTAGAGTGTTTATTACTTTTGGCCTTAAGGGTGTCAGTGACTCCATCACCCAGCTTGCCTGTAATGTAGCACAATGGGGTGGACCCCTGTTGTGATCACAGAAACAAAACACACACATGCATGCAGTCAGCAAAATCTAAATCTCACACAACAAAACACATAAAAACTAGACAAAAGTCATATAACCAATAGGGTACAAGTCACTTTGGTGGCCATTATTTTGGCACCTTCACATAAACTAATACTAATAAAATCGGTTATTTTGCAGTGTAAACTGTTAAGTGATGAGAACAAAGTCTCTGTGATCCTCCAGTGCTTCCAGATAAACCATTGCTCTGGCCCAGCAGTGGGAGGTAACTTTTGAAAACAGTATAGAGCGGAGCTGCTTTACAATTCAAATAAGCTTTTCAGAACAATAGCAGCTCCTCTTCAACAGCTGTTCCCAAACATTTCAGGGGACTTCCCAAAACCAGCAGTCCTGTGGTGTGCTATAGATGTAAAAATGAGCTGGGTTTATCCTGTACAGAGTTGCGGGGGACTGGACCCTGCCCCAATTCACTTTGGGCAGGAGGCAGCATACATCCTGGAAAAGTCCCCTGTCTATTACAGGACACATTCACATTCACACGAGCAGCAGCTCAGCACCTTTTTCACCAGGCATCCACCAGATCTGAAGTATTTGCGTGAAGTATTTTGCCAGTGAAGTTAGAAACAGCAAGAACATTTTAAATATCCATTGGTCCTTTTTATGTGTGGATCAGTTTGAAACCGATTGATATACTATTACTAGTAATACTAGGATTAGTATGTTGTCCTGTTGGCTTCATCGGATCATAGGCTCTGAACTGGAGCAAGTGACTGAGGTAGTACACTTGTCAACCAGTAACACTCATGGAGGACAGAAACCTTCCGTGGAGCAGGAGGGCAAAAGCTCACTTGATCTTGATTTTCAGTATGAATGTTATAATAAAAGATGGGCCTCATGATCCCTTAAACCTTTTGTGTTTTAAGCAGGAGTTGTCAGAAAAGGTGGTGTAAATGGCTCATGGCGGCCAGGCATTCATAGGGATGTTGCGCTTTGATCCTGTGTGTCTGAATTGATTCCCTCGGGCAAATTGCACAGAGCCCACCCATTTACATCGACCATGCAAGTGTCATACAGCCAAGATCAGTATCTTCAAGTCTTGGAGGGTCTGTTATTGGGTCTCTTTCACAAGTGAGGGTAAAAGAGTTTGTGATATTGACAGCAAGTTAGAAGCAGCAGTAGTAATTCTGGCTTGACATTGCACTACAGTCATCAAGCTTTGGGTAAAATGAATAAAACACTGCAAAAGAGAGGTTTCTGTGAAGGGTAGGTGGTCTAATTTAATAGTACTTTTTCAGGTACCTAGCTTGCTTTCCTGTGGAGGTGTTCCAGATGTGACAGATTTGCCAGAGACCTAGGATACTTGCTTAGGGATGGTATGCTATACTATGCTAAAGTGGTAGCATTTGAAAATACTACAGGCTTATTTGTGTTTCTCACCATTTAACAGATCAGTAGACCAGGAGGATTCTCTATCAAAAATTCAGTGAATTTGTTCAAGACATTGTTTCAGAACAGTAAATATAAGTACAGTAAATGGCTGGGTTATCAAGTCACCTGCATCATTGTAATAATCACAGCTTCATGTTTGAGATTTATCAATATGCTTACCATAACGCTGCCTTTTTGCCCCCCTATGCCCTTTGTTTTCTCCAAAAACCCTCTCCCTTTTGCCTCTCATATCCAATGCCCACCAAACTCCGTTCCCAACTGGAGGTAGTGAAAGTGGTCGGAGTACCCCCAGCTTATCCACCTATTCTGATGGCAAATCCCCCTCCTCCACTTCTACATACATGGCTGCTCCCCGGCATTTCCACATACCAGGTAGGCCATATCTGCACCGCTTGGCTCGCAACTCAACTTTTCATTTTTCCTACTTCTTTACACTATTTATAGAGTATGCTGTCATTAGTGACCTGGAATTATAATTATAATGAGATCATAACAAAAAAAGAAACAAGCTTTCCAAAAATAATTGGTCCCAACTTTACCACTACAATCTCTCTCTGAGTGGTAAATGATATCATACTACTAACACCAAGCTGAACAGCATTGTTTCACTGACCTGTGGTTGAAAGGTTAAAGTCAAGTTGTTTTATCTCTAACCTGCCCAGCAGCGATTACTACAGCAAGGTGAAAATCAATCAACCAATGGAGGTTAGGATGTATAAATGTAGGATTTTTACTTGGTGTTCAGCTACTGATTCATGTTTAACAAGTAAGCTAACTTTGACCAGATTAGACCTTTATTTTCCTGTGCATTGGACCGCTTTCTTTCCAGGTACATGCAGAGAATTCTTGTGAAACTGTCATGTGTAGCATATGGGCCCTCGTGGATGAACAATTTCATATTCTTTCCTAAACCTGTTATGTTTATTTTAGGTTTGCTTATATGAGTGTTCCAAGTCCGATTTAGCAAACCATTTTAACTAAAAAAACGTAAAAACTCTTAAATAGCGTGTTTCAACTTGATGAACGCCACTTGTACACCAGTACATTGTTTTTGGGTAGTTTTTCCACAAGGTGTCGCAGCAGAGCCATATAATATATACATATATAAAGAACAAATGGCTTCATCTGATGTCAAGGGATTAACTATTTACACGATTAAACACCTACACCACTGTTGGTATGCTACAGCTTTGGATTTTATAACTGCAGACTAAACTACAGAGCATTTAGCCCCATTTGTGACCTCCGGACTACTGTGAATTTGAGGAGAAAACACTAAGTACGAGGGAAGTTCACAACAGTCGACTTGCCTTTGTCTTATGGATTGTTTCCTAGGACTCTTTCCTCTCCCATGTCCCTACTGTTTGCTAATTTCAAAGCAATTTTTTCTTGACACAGCAATGATCCGACATGAGATTGCATCACTTACAATTATATTTACAGTATATTGGGACAGGAGTTGACGCTAAACAGTATATCCTTCATTACTTCCAGTCCAGTCCAGGAAAATACGTTTGATTCAACATATTGTTCCCATTGACAATTACACTGTCAGTCATGCAGAGGAAAAAAAAAAACCTCCCATGTTGGAAGCAAGTTAAGTGGAAAAAACAGCCAGCGATTATCCACTTAATGGCCTTCATAGTCATCGTCCTTATTGCTTTTATATGGATATTGTTTCAGATGCTGGCAGGCACTGAAACAAGCCAGGGAAAAAAACCCAGATGTGTTGTTTTATTGTGAGTCATGTTTCTGCTGTGGCTTAATGTGTGACAGTTGTTACTAAGCATCTCTGTCAGAGGCCTGTCTGGGTCCACTGACACTAAAATGGATTAGATCAGCTTTAGGGTAAAACATGCTGTCCCCATTATCCTCCAGAGGCACTTCATCTAACAGTACAGTTAATGCAACAAGACTTCAATTAACTTTCAACTTTTCCTCTGTTGTTGGGATGTTTATACTATTAATTTAGGTGGCCTTTTTGTTTTAATTTGAAAATCTCCCCAAAGAATGCTAATACAACTAGACTGTTTGATGTCTGGGGACCATGTGTGGTTTCAGATATTATTCTTTGAGTGTCACTGAATTGTTCTGCATCAAATAACCTCCCATTCAACAAAGACCAATGATATATGTTGAATATGTTGCATGAGTTATATTAAAAGTGTTGATGTTTCTGATGTGCCTTAAAAAAATGACAAATGATGTCTCTACTGCGACCCCCCCTCTGCTGCTTCGAAATACCTCATCTCTCAATAACTGCTAACTCATGCTTCTTTTTCTCCATTCTCTCTCTTTCTTTCTCTCCCTCCTATGTTGGCTTCTTCCATTTTCTTTCCTCTGCGTCTGTTCCCATCTTCAGAGACTATGGTCAAAGATAATATCTATAGAAAACCCCCCATCTACAGACAGCATGGTACAGTCTACTTCCTCGTTAACACTTCCTTCTCTGGTCTGGTCTCTGCACGATGTGTTGCATGTTGCCTGTCAAGTCACCTCCTCATCCGTTTATCCCAGTTCTCCTCCCTTTTTTTGCACTCGTCTAGTAGACCCCATGGATCTACATGCATAGGGCTGGTGTAAGAGCACTGCACCCATTCTATGTTATATAATCAACTTAGACAAGTGCAGAATCTATCAAGGTTGAACATTTGGATGGCGGGCAATGTTGTGACAAAATTAACAAAAAAAAACCCCAAAGGTTTTGATTTAAGAAAGCAGACCGTTGATCTGCCCTGATTTCAGTTGTCTTTTGGAATAAAGTGAAATGCTTTGATGCTGCACTAGGCAAGGTGGCTATGTAAAAATACAGCAGATGATATAAGCCTTAGCAGGAGTTTAGGCCAAATTTGCCACAGCACTAAAAAGATACTGCGTTGGTGTGGGCGCCACTGGGCAGGTTTCTCCAAGCAGTCCCTCCCGGAAGTTGTGATTTTTTTTTTTACTATCACCGCAACCATTCCGCAAATTTGACCAGTCATTGTAGTTTCCTGTGCAAAATGGTGACGCATACGTCACCAAACTCACTTCCTTGTTTCTAGAAGATTAAGACCATGTGCAATTAGGCCTGATGAAATACATTCCAGGAAGGTCGGTTTGAGTAAGTCATGGCTCTCTGCATCCTGTTACAATCCATCAGTTAATGTTATTTTTTTGGGGCATTTTCACCTTCATTGGAAACAAGGGGGGAGAAATGGGTATGACATGCAACAAAGGTCCCTGGCTGGATTCAAGCCATGGATGTTGCAGTAAGGTTGTTTGAGTTTTAAGCATTTGGTTGCCCCAATATTTCTTTTTTTTAAACTGAATCCCCAGTCCTTCCCCAAGCTTAATCAAGTGTTTTAGATTACATCCACACTACCATGATTTCTACTCTGGAAATTACCTCATGTCTTGTTAAAACTCAGCGATTGTGTTTTAGTCTGGATGGGTAGAAACACATACTTTTGTAAACAATGGCTAATTAGGTCTTATTAGTCATGACATGTCATTTCTTGATTCCTCGCGGCCCTGTTATTTTCTGGCATGTTATCATGGACGGAGATCATTTCTGAAATAGTGTTAAAACAGAGATTGGCATTTTAAAAACATATTATTGTAGATGTAGCCTAGGTTAGGGTTTCCTCAAGGCATCAGTATGCTTTAGAGGGCTGTAGCTGATTGTTGAACCTATAGAGGGCAGTGCATCAGAAGTTCTGCATTACCTAATTAAATTGTAGATTTACACTTTTAACTAGAGGGGAGAGAAGGCTCTTTGATCTGGGTCTAGAGCTAACATCTTGCTGAGGTTTTATTAGGGGGTGATTTTGATTTTAATCTTAAAAACAAATTCATCATAATTGGACTTTATCTTTAATAAACATTGCCCAAGATTTCAATATCTGATTTGACACACTGATTACTCACTTTTAGAATGGGACTGATTGTTGGAAGTGGGGCCCTTGGGTGTTAATTTGCTCACTCCGTTCATGCATGCTTGCACTCATCTCACCAGCTCATTTGTTGGTTTTAGTGGTGATGCTATGACTGTGTGTCCACTGTGAGTGGTTGGGTACATGATTCACTTTGTATGGTGGCATTGGTGTTGTACCGATCACTGTTTCAATCACTGTGTCTCTCCCCTCACCATTGTTTGTGTGTCTAATCTATGGTGTAGTCTTTTCACTATAGTTGCCCTCAAGCTGTGTTTGCACATGGCAGGGTCACTCAAAACACACTGACATAGGAGTCCAAGGAGCTTTTACCACCTCTATCACATGAGGAAATATTCATCTTTTTTAATATGACAAGTAAATCAGCTGCATATGGCATAGTCCTACAGATTTATGAACTGGCTATGCATCCAAGCAGACGTGAGGTCACTGACAAGGCGTGTGCTGTCTGCCAAAAAGAGGGAAAAACATCTTAACCTGGGAGCTGTGTAAAGTGGTATTATGTTTGAATGGACTGCACATACGGTTTTGGGAATTTGGCCCATTGGTCAAGTTATCTGATACATAATAAGAAGGCTGTCACCAATGTTATCAATCTGTCCATCGTACATGCTGCTTTAACATACAGTATGCTAGGTGATCATGTGTGTTAAAAATTGTCCTGAAAGAAAGGAAAGGTAATTAGTCATTTGTGCACACAATGTCCAATTACTTTCATGGACCCCACAACGGAGGTCGTAACACACATTCACATAAAGTCAAACAATAGTTGATATTTGAACATACAGTATGTTAATGGAATGGTTAAGGTAACACTATTTTCTTGAACAAGCAAATAGGTATCAGGTAAATCTGTGTATCCGTGTCCAATATTCTGGACAAAACTGCATTAAATCCTGCTGATTTAGATTAGTTTCCTTGGCCTGACAACCTGAAATCACACTGTATTAGTGCACTGTATCAGTCTACACAATGATATATGTGCAGCTAATAGTTGCTAAAATGTCCAATGCAACAACACAACTGCATAAGACATTGTATTGAGGAGACAAAGACAAATTTAATGAGATCAGGAATGTACAATATTCTGAAGGTATGGATGCACCCATATACCAAAACATAGCTTCTAGCCTGCCGCTAACACACAGGCCATGAGCAATTGTAATGAGTCTCATAGGTGAATGCAGTTTTGTTTTGATTTTAGAGAGAGATTCATAGAATATATCTTTGACAACCCTGTAAGAGAGAACAAATTAAAAGGTGCTGGAAATAAAATCTGCATTTTGGCTAACCTCCTGTCCATTGTAGCAGTCCCTTTCCTCCACCCCAAATCACCACACTGTAATTCTGCCCTTGAGGACCGCCTCTTTGTGAAGTTCTCTTTCCTGATTGGATAAAGTGGGAACAGGATAGCAGAACATTTATTCCCTGTTTACTGCAGAACGGAGGGACTGGGAGACCATGTTACTGACTGAACACTGTTGGCTGACAGTGATGGCTATCATGGAGTGTAGAGCTATTTAACACTTATTTTACCTAAACAAATATGGCTTACAGCACCTTTAAGTAACCTGTGAGCTTGAATAAGTAATTTGTGCACAAAGAACATACTGAACATTTTTGTGATTGTCTAATCAAAAATTAATAAAGTTAGAAAATATAGATTTAGCCCTGTGGGTTAGGAAAGGAAACGAGTGTCCAAAATGGAAAGGGTTCATCCCCTGGGGAGCATGAATACACACAGTCAATTTCATAGCAATTTGCTAATTTAAGTAAGATATCTCATAAGTACAAGTGGACATCTTGGGGAACAATGATTATTAAGCAGATTTAATCGAAATCCAGCCATTAGTTATTAAAACAAAGTATCATGGACCAAAATATTTGTCAAGGGGTAGTTCTGACCAAGGCCAGGGGTTCAAATCATTTGCATTCCTCCTCATGGGACCATGGATATCCTGATCTAATGTCATCATAATCAGGACTGTAGTTCAGATATCTTGCTCTGGTGAACAATGGGTCAGACCCCCAAAACGTCACTGCAGCCCTGAAAGTACAATGTTGATACAAATGTTGGCCCTCTTTGACTGTACAGTTACACAGTGCATGTACAGTAGAGCTCCCTGTAGGTGCCGTCTGCAACTGATGATGTCATGGTCCGGGGTGATTTACTGTAGAGTTAATAGTGCAGCACACTGGAGCTGAGAGGCAGATGATCCAGCACATTAACTGTGACATCCTGTAACATCTGACTGTTTTACAGCTTCTAGAACATCCTGGCAGGATGGGGAGGATAGCAAGGTGGGTCTGTTGTGTGTGTGTGTGTGTGTGTGTGTGTGTGTGTGTGTGTGTGTGTGTCTGTGAGTCTTTATCTGTCTGTCTGTACATACCTGCCTCTTTTCAAGTCATTCTTTTAAACTTTGCAATTACTGTACATCCATTTACTAATTCACTAACTCATACTTTTCCATCATCCATCACCTCTTTCCATCTTTCTTGTCTCTGTCTCTCTCTCTCTCTCTCTCTCTCTCTCTCTCTCTTTCTCTCTCTTTCTCGCTTCCCATAGAGGACCAGTTGGATGATCTTAAAGAGTGAAATAGATGGACACATGGGTCCAGAAGACCTGGATCCCCGCAAGTCCACCTGCAGTCTCCCCACTGACACCTCCCAGCCTAGTGAGTACCCAGTCACATGCTCAACCTGGTGTAAGTGCAATGAATACAACAATATAGTGTAAAATAAAAATAAAAATATATTTTCTTTCGCTCCAGATTTCCCCTACAATAAGTCTGCTTCCTTACCCGGATATGGACGGAACGGCATCTACAAGGTGGGCCTTAAAGTAGTAGCCTTAAATAATGTAAAACCAAAGAAGAAACAAACAAAAATCCTCAACTGAATGTAAGAAATGTGCAGTCCACTGGGAGAAGAGAAAAGGAATTCAAGAGACTACAAATACCATAGCTCAAACTTGAGTCCTTAAAGAAAAACTCTTTGTGTTTTACAACTGGGGTTTATTTTCACAGCGATGGACATCAGTTCTATCCTTTAAGGTGAAGTTGGATAAATGGATCTAACAAGGCAAGAAACATGAACTGTCAGACAGTGAAAAAGGATATAAACAAGCTGACAGGTTGCCAGAGAATATAAAGCACTGTATATAGAAGTAAAACAAAGGGAGGGTACCAATACCAATCATCCTTCATTGTACAGGAACGTGCTACAGTGGTAGCTGAGGCAAGACCTCTAGAAACTGTGATTGGTACACAGTTTGCTTCTGTCTTTGTGTTCTCTTCCAATTATGTTTGACTAACCTGGAAGTTTGTCTGATCTTCTGACTGCCTCGTCTACTTGGTCTCCTTCCAAAATCATCAGCTTGTTCAGTGGCCCTCCATTTCAAAATATAACACTGTAGATATCCATCTAGCATCTGTGAATGTGAAGGTCAGGTGGTGTAGTATAAAGAGCAAGAAGGTCTGCATATGGAGGTGGTGGGGTAGATGGCTGGATGCTGTTCATGGCCACTGACCAAGTGGCAGTATTTGTTGTACCCGTTGGATCTATTTAGCGATTGTGACATGTTCCAAGAATGCAGAAATGAATTTGGTGAGCACAGCGTTATCATAACCAACAGAACCAATGGCTGAAACTACAAAAATAATCCCTAGTCTTCCTATAACCCAATTAATAACCTACCTAATCATCTAAACCCTTCCCTGTCCCATCTGGAAACCAGGATTTGTATATTTCCACTAAGCCAACATGACACAATATCCTTCCCCAAATTAAATAATAACCAGCCCCAGAGTCCTTTGTTCCTGTCCAATTCAAGTCTGGCATGATAAAGCCTGGACCCAAAGCTTGGGCAAGGCTTCAGTCTCTGCAGGGGGTGCGCTTGATTTGCGTTGGCTGTCTTACATAGAACTTAGATCATTTCACTGCAGAGTGACTTGTTAAGGGAAATGGGGTGTGTCTGTCACCATAGCGAGGAGATTAAACCAAGCCCACCAAAGAATTAGAGAAAAGAAAAGAAAGAGCTGTTAGGAATATCTGACAGTAGTTAACTTATAGGGCACTAGGTAGTACAGTCTCCCCCACCCCCCGACCCCCACCCACCCTCTACTAATCAACACAGGAGACCTCAGAGCAGCATTAAAGACCATTTAAAAGTTTTCCTTCTTTTTAAAATTCAACCTCCCTGAGGTTTTCGCTCACAGTTTTGGTATCAGGTTACACGGGTCAGTCCGTACCATTCACTCCACACAACGCAGAGCTCCGGTTTGTTATGAGGACGTTGGGGGTATTTAGTCTATCATCCACTGATGGGATATTGCTGCTCCCCCTCTGTGTTTGTTGATGGATAGAGGACAGGCAGACAAAACAGAACCGAGAAGGAAATGAAAGATCAGGAGCCACGACGGATTCGTGGCGCAAAGTATATTGAATAATTTTTCACTCGCTGACATTACTGGTTAGTGTTGTTGACATGGTGGATTTAGTGTGCTGGCAGAAGAACGAAGGAAGAGTTTCTTCTATTAAACGTGGAGCTATGAAACATTATACTTGTAATATACAGTATCTTTGTGCGAACACATTGCTCATATACAGAATAACAGTGCTCAGTCTCTGTTTAAAATTAAATTGCATTTAATTGTGTGATTTTTTTCAGTTATAACATACTGATAGTAATAGATTATATCTACAGACACAATTAATGGCTCTGTGACACTGTTAGCACAACAGTGCTTTGAGCTAAATGCTAACATCAGTGTGCTAACATGCAATGGTATTATGTTAATCTTCACAAGTAACATTCACCATGTTCACCATATTAGTTTTTAGCATTTTCATATTTGCTGCTTGAAACACAAAGTACAGCTGAGGCTGATGGGAATCCCACAGTGTTTGCAGGTATTTTGTCATGAACCAACTTATTACCCAAAAGGAAGATATTTCCTGACAGCTGTCAATCAGAATTGTTTCATTTCAAACAGTATTTGCATGAAGCAGTACACTAACTGATCCCCGACTGACAGCAGCCGTAAACACAACAGATAAAAGCCTCACACTTTGAAGAGCAACAATCATTAGTTTTTTAGGTAATGTCAATCTCGGAAGCTTTTACTGTCTGACAGCGATTTAGCCTCTGCAGGCAATGTTTCGGGGCTTCTGGTGTAGCCAGTGGATATCCAAATAACGGATAGCAACTTGATATGGATACTTGATTGGATAGAGGGCGAGAAAGACACATTTTGGTTTATCTCTATAAACAGATATCTAGATATGAATACAGATAAGAAAAAGAGAGCTAACTAAAGGCTAAATTGTTCCAGGATTTTATTTTTGCCAATGCGTTGTGCCTCTTTTGTTCTCAACACAAACTGTTTATCTGCAAGCATAGACTGAGCTGACAACAATCGAAGTCCGCTTAAAACGCAAATGGTCGACACTACTCAAACAACAAACCTTATCTACAGATACTGTATGCAGATATGTTTAATGTCTCCTCTCTACAAGCATACAGTAGATACATGCAGTAGAACCTTGTACTGCACCTTTGATTTTTGAACGAGCTACCAAACCAACATTCACAGGGAGCAAACACTTTCTAATGTCATTCCTTCTCTCTCTTTAGTCACTTTTTACTCTCTCCAAACTAAGTGATGCAAGCTCGCTATCATAAGACTGTGTCACACTCACTTCCTATTGGTCACCCTGAAAGAATGTGAGCAAATCAAGTGCAAAAGCAATGACTAAAAGGCTTTCAGATGCACCCTGGCTTTGATAAAGAACAGCAATGTTCTTGGAGGCATGGAGCAAGATCTGAATGATGGTCTAACTGGTCTCTGTTTATATGTGTGTGTGTTCTTACAGGCTGCTGAGATGGTGGAAGATGAAGTGGACCCAGACTCCCAGAGCTGGGGAGGCATGAGAGGTGAGACTGACAATAACTTACTGCTGTTACTCGTGCTCTTTGTTGTGTTCCTCCTAATGTTAGTGGTTTTCAAGCTTTTTCGGTGTTGTAATGTTAATAGGTGTGTCAGCTAAATGCGTACATACAATACATACAAACTGTATACTAGCTGATACCAGCAGGAAGTGATGCTGGCTGCAGTTCAGGCCCGGTAAAGCATCAGCTGATGTCTGTGGGTCAATGACTACAAAGGATTGCAACCCCAATATTAAATATGATGACTTTAAGAATGATTTATTTAAATAATTTGTTAAGCAAGAATGCTGGAAAGTCACGACATCTTCCCAAATGAAAACAAAATGTTGCTTTTGTTTATCTATTTGACAGTAAATTTAAGTTTTTTTACTGTTTCCACAAAACTTTGAGTCATCTTTGGCTCTGGGAAATTGTGATTTGTGAGTATTTTTAAGAATATTTTGACATATAATAGATAAAATGATTAAAAACATGTTGTGTTGAACGTCCTTAAAATAAAGTTGAAAGTTGTCAGTTTGACCTTATAGACAGAGTTGAGATGTCAGATTTAGGCTGGTTGGTTCCAGAAGAAAATTACCAAATCTCTTCTTTAATTCTCAAATCTACCTTTTATTGGGAAAATGTAGACAGCTGTGTTCATTAAATACAACAACTTGTTGATATTTAATAGCCTTTTGAACAAACTCTGGCAAGAAACAGAGATTGCCCCAAAAAAGATGTTAAATGACATTCAGCTGAACACTCATTTAGGTAAAACAATTTCTGCAATGAAGCCTTTAATACCTATAATACCTTTAATAAAAAATATAAAACCAGGGTTCGATTCTTGAGCTTCTACAGTATTACTCAACTTGTATGTACTCTCTCTGGGTCTTTATAATTGCAATTAATGACAAAACACTGCATAGTTGACTGTTTTACTGAATTAATCCAATTCAATACATTGAGCCAGAATGTGACAGTGAAATGAATAACTGCTGAATGTATTAGCATATGTATACTTAGTTTTTAGCTTCCTTTAGCCGTTAGCAATAGAACTTTAAACTCAGGTATTGGATGTTTCATATGGAAATTATACGAAGGAGAAGTTAATTCTTTAATCTACTTTTTATGTGCACAGATATTTTTTAACATAGTTGCGCATCTCTTGTACTTGAGATTCAACCGGGAGAATTTCATGGACTTCTAAGCTTTGGAAGTGCACCAATATCATTCACCTAATGTTGTCTTGGCAGAAAATGAACTGGACTTTTACTTCCAGAACCATGGACTCTCAAAATAACTTAACAACTATATTGCTTCTATAGGTTAATCCAAAAGAGAACCTTTTCCTCCAGATAATAGTATCAGCTAAAATCTTACTATGAAATGGGAAAAAGGCCTGTGTCATCTTTCCTTTAAGTACAGATCTAAGGTCAGTTTACAATCCCTGATTACATTGTGACCAATCACGCAGAGCCCTGCAGCCCTGGCTCCAGATCAGTTACTGGAGGTAACAACGTGGAGAGGTGATGTCATTTTTCCAGCTGCAGAATTATTGGTGTGTGTTTACAAGTGTGTGTGTGTGTGTGTGTACAGTCCTGGCTGTATCTTAGGCAAAGACTGAGTTGACATGATGCCAACCTCATAACTGTGTATTCGTGTGTGCAGAGCAACCGTTTATAATGCTTTTGACGCCTTTGAAACCCAATATTTTTGAAGAGATTTGAGTCCACAAGGTGTAATTTATTTTCAGGCTCTATTATGGTAGTTTTCATAATGGCTCTGCTATTCAAATAAAAACTCATTGTTCCACCAGGTTAATTCTCTCTTTCTCTCTCTCTTTCCCTCCCTCCCAGAATACAAGGTAAGATTTCCCTCATTTGTTAATGCTTTACAAATAATATTCTTGGCAGCTTTGTTGAACATTGGATTATAATTGTACTCACTAATAAATCTCCCACAATGCTTACTTTGTGTGTGCCAGATCTACCCTTATGAAATTCTGGCAGTGACGCATAGAGTGAAAGTGAAGCTTCCCAGAGACGTAGATCGCACCAGACTGGAGGTAAGCTCTAATCTTCTTCTCCCTGCTCTGTCGTTTCCCCCCTTCTTACCACAGGTCATTAAAAGCCTGAGAAAATGTTAAACCGGGGTTTAAAGAATGACTTAAAGAATGATGCAGTTTTGGTAAGGCAACCAGGCAGCTAAGACAGGTGGGATAAAAAAAAATATCAGCCCAAGCTTAGAGAAGTGCTATCTCCAATTTTTGTAAAGGTGGATAAATGATTTGAGGTTTTTCAAAAACAGATACATGATGTATGGTCAAAAGCATGTGGACAGGGCTTTTTTGTGTACTTGAGCTGGATTTCATGATTTGGGCACGGCCCTTAAAGGTTTCAGTATGCTTCAGATAAAGTGAGTCAAATTGATTGAATGAAGACAATTCAATTGATGAAATTGCATTTAGACTATCATGTGGGAGGATAACATTTGCAAAAAATTTGCCTGATCAGTTGAATGAATAAATAAACATAGAAAAACAAAACAAATATGTTTTTGTGTTTCTGTTCTTGTTTCTAAAAAGAACAGAAAGAAGGCTGAACTTGGAGAATTTGGACCTCTGTTTTTCTAAAATCCTGCTACAGCGCTTCATTGTGAGAGCAAAAGAGGTGGAACACATTGGCTGAAATGCAATCTAGAAACCCATCGCCTATCGTCTGACACTTTATTAGCTTTTTTTGAAAGGTTGTTTTGTAATGTCTCGCACACAAAGTTGCTAATCGGACTGCAGAGAAGGTCTTCTACAGTGGATAGCCCTTAAACGTTGGCTGTTGCCCCCAGAGACAATGGGTGGGTGGGTTCAGAGATTGGGAGAAATCTTAATTTTTACAGCATAGAATGATGGTGTCTGATTGGTCCATGACTGGCCTACACTAAGCACTGACCTTAACCCATTCCAACACCTCTGGGTGATGGTGCCTGGCTCAGTGAGTGCCCAACCTCATTAATGCTCTTGTGGCTGAAAGGAAGCAAATCCCTGCAGCCAGGTTACTAAATCTGGTGGAAAGCCTGAAACCAGAAGAGTGGAGGCTGTTACAGCTGATTAATGCCCATGGTTTTGGACTGACACACTCAACATGACATATGGGTATATTGCTTTTGGCTATTTGGTGTAGTTTACTGCAAGAGAACTTAGAGTTCAAGCTGTGACGTGCTAAATAAAGTCAATAAATTGTGGGATTTTATTGAATGTGAATATAATTGGCAGTAATATTGGTTTTACTTTCTGATGTTGTATCACATTACCTGCTCTTGTGCTGGGTCACGGCAAGTTTAACCCACATGCATGCCTTATAATAAAAAATTAAGCACAATTGGACTTAATGTCCCGTAATAACTAATTTCCTCCAGCTGTTATTCTTACACTACCCATTTACAGATTCAGAACTTTCATTAAGTTTGTTCGGCTGAAAACAGGAAATATTTTAGTCTGTAGAGAAGTCTCAAATAATGTTCCACATAGCATTAAAAAAAACATTTAAAAACTTCAAATTGTGGTTTGTGGTGCAGCACTGATGGTCCTCGTCTCCCCAGAAGAGTTTCATGAACCTATTTTAAAAGAAACACCCCCTTTAAAATATTTAAACCTTCAGTAACCCTAATATGAGAACTGCCTCTTAGCCTTTGGATTATGGGAATATTGTCCCAAGAGGAGTCAGACCGTCGGGATATCGGGGTGTTACTGACGCAAGAGATCCCTTTGTGGTTGGGATCACTAGACTGGAGTCATATTGTCATTAGTGTGTGTGTGTGTGTGTGTGTGTGTGTCAGAGAGAAAGATTCCAACCTCTGTTTCACCCACCACTGTCCCTGATCCTTGACTCCAAAGTGGTGTTGGTTTACCCAAACTAATCAGCAGCTAAACCCATATCAAAACTCCAACTCTGAGCCAAGAGGCACAATCATTCTGACCCGTTACTGGTGGCTGCTGTGTGAGGAGATGCTCAGACATATAACGCAGGAAGCTTTTGTGCAGGGACATTACTTAAGGGAAAAGTTCAATATATCTGAAGATACACTTGTTTTTATATTCTTTCAGAGTGAGATGAGTAGATTTATATACGCATATATATAGTTCCTATCAGCTCAAGTTACAGTGTGCTGACATGTGTCCTCACCTGTCTGCACCTGTACAACCTCAGTGCGTGTGTCATGTTTTTACTGTGATAGTGTTATTACTCCACACCACCGCAGTGTTCAGCCATCATCCAGTGGGGGTGGAGACTTGTTGTTCCAAGCAGCAGTTTTTAGTTCATTGTCAACAGTCAACTGTAGGTTGAATGCTAAAAAGTCTCTTTTCTGTGGAAATACTGAAGAACTATAATCTTTTGGCATAAGAATGCCTAAAGAAAATATGTGCAAAATATCAGCTATTGACAGCAATAAAAAAACAACTAAGAGGGATTAGACTTTTTCTACTGCTGAAAGAGCATCTCATCTCAGTTATCAAACATTTGTGGACCATGACCCTGTTTTTAGCATTATTTGTAGAAGTAAACATGAATTTGACTCATGTCTGAATGCCAAAATCTACAATTGGCAAGTTTGACAAAGTCCGATTTTTAAAAAACATAATGTTTTGATTCCTTAAAATAGATATTAAACTCAGGAACTAAATCTAATACTAAAAGTCACTTTAGCTCATTTGTGTTCTATGTAGGGAATCTGGTTTCATGTCTGTCAGATAAATGTTGACAATAGTAACAACAGAAGTTCCTGTCCCAAGTCTGAATAGAAATACAAGCTTATACAAGTGCGTGACTACTGTCTGAATGCTGGAGAATGAGAGAACCAGAGCTAATTTGGTGGAAAAACACTATCAGAGTACTTAAGCTCTGCTGTTCTAGTTCTGTCTTTAGCTCCAAACTCTCTACCCCAGTCAGTGCTGTCACAGCAGGAGTTGACAGCTAATAGAGAACACCTTTCATGATATCACTGATTGGGCTAAAAGCCATATGAGCAGTGGTTTTACCATCACTAGTAATGATAACTTTATTCAATAAATATTTTGAAAATCTAATCCTTGATACTCTCTTGTTGTTATTCTGTCAACATGGCAGATGAAAAATGAAAATGATCTGGATGTTTTTGCCTCAGGGAGAAAACCACATTCCTCCCTCTGTTGGTTGGTATGGAAACCAGGTGATTGGCTATCACACAGCAACAGCCTGCCTCTAAGTTACTATCAGTATCATTGTAGAGACGCACAACTGCTGCGCACAGTGCAGCCAACATTTTACAATAAAGTGGCGTATGCTGTTGTTCTGGGTCTAAATCAATACCATGCATGTTTTTGTTCCATGGTATATTTTTGACATTTACAGAGGACTTAGTGAGTGTCTCCAACATGAGCCAAGCTGGGTTTTGGATAACAGTTTTGTTTGGATCAACTTCTGAAGCACGGAATTGAATTTGGTGTGTTAAACCTCAATACAGAAGGCAATGTAACGCCTGCTTATGTGGTGAACACAAACATGTTGTTACGATTGGATGTCTTCTATATGAGAGCAATCCAAGAGGATGAAGCTGCTACTGATTCACCATAGGCTACAGCACAAGTGGGTGAGAAAAGTCAAGCTGGCCCGGCGGCAGAAATAATCTCATTGGTTCAAGTAAAAGTTTTGACTAATTGAGCCAAAGTACCACATGTTTTTCTGACTCAGTAGAACATGAGTCTCCCATTTTGTCATGACCAAACCTCGCCACAACCAATGTTACCTACTGTACAACCACATTAGCAAGCCTGGAGCAACACCGGTTTCCCAAAAAAGGGAAAATGAATTTTGCTTTGTGACCAGGCATTTAGAAAGTGCTACTTACTGGAAGAAATAGAATCTTTCTAGCCATACTAATAGTTAGCCTACCTAAGCTTCATACTACCAATACTTGTAGTAGTGTTGGTAAGCTAGATAGCCATTCTGGTCTTGATAGCTATCTTTCTAGCCAACCTAAATCAGCTAGGTTAGATAGTTAGCCTAACTAAGCTTGTAAATCGTGTTGTTAAGCTAGCTAGTAATGGTGCTAAGCTTGCTTGCCATCCTGTTGCCCTTAAAAAATAACAAATAGACCTTTTGAACAGCAGCCATGTTTTAACATAGGGTAAACCAATGATACTAACTAATGTTCTGTTCCATTTAGTGTAGCAGAGCCTTTCCAGTGAGCTGACATGCACCATAGCAGCACCCTGACTCTGTCTGAATGGAATAGAACCTTTATTAGTACCATTGGTAACAACTGTGTTTACCCTACTGTTTCATGTCAAAATGGCTGCTGTGCATAAGGTCTATTACACAGCCTAAAAGTGATTCAATCTATGTTTTAATGGGAGTAGAATCACAGTCTCTCTCCAAATGAATACTTTAATTCACTAGCTATAAAACGCACAATATCTGAACTCAGTACACTAAGGGATTCTGCTGTTACAACATTTACTTGATCTGGTATGGCCAGTAGAGCTCTCATGGTGACTAATATTAGCAAAAGTTAGCCAGCTTCAGATAGATATTCAGATAGATGACTGACTTTTAGACTCAGATGTACATTTTAGCATAAAGCACAAATGAACATTTCAAGTATTTTATTACTAAGGTACGTAAAGGTACAAGTACGAACCCATGTCAGTTTCTGTAATCTAATTGCAACAGCTATGAGGACGCTGTTTAGCAAAAGTTACATAATGTTGTTACCATTTACAATTTCATTACATTTTAACACTACAGTTCACCCTTTTCACAACCCATTAGCCAAGACAAGTTTTCATACCTAAACGACAATATGTCAATACATTTCAAATGACCAATGTGATTGCTGATCTGCCAGTACAACAGAGACACTGTGGAGCAGGATATCACCTTCATGGGAAAAATACACTTTGGCAATATGCTTATCCTGTTCTCCAGTTTTGAAGTTAGACTCCCAAGACACCTAACCATTCATGCAGAATACTTCTTATGGTGGTATAAGCACTGCCACCTTCATCAAAACATCAAATGAGGGAATATCTCTTAGAAAGATGCTGTTCCAGTAAAGTTCCTGAGAATATGAGAATCTATGGCAATAACTATTAAAGGCTGTTAGGTGGAGGCTTATGGTGGAATGAATCACTTCATGTTGTTTCTTTAATTTGTCACCCATCTGTAACTGTTTGTGCTAACAACCATTATTATGTTGCTGAGTGAGGACAGTTTCTTAAAGGTCCAGTGTGTAACATTTAGGAGGATCGATTGGCAGAAATGGAATATAATACCTTTGTTTCTCCTAAACAATTCATTGCCCGTTCTCATTCCCAGGTCATCAAATACAGACGCCAGCAGTGTTCAGTTAGTTGCAATCTGCAACTTCATTGCGAGATGGCACTAAATCCTACACACTGGTCCTTTAAAATTATGGCCTTCTTCATGCTCTTTTGTCCAAAGTAAATATATTTTTTCTGCTTGTGTTTTGCTTCTCCAGAGACACCTCTCTCCTGAGGACTTCCAGAAGGTTTTCGGCATGACCCTGGAGCAGTTTGACCGCCTGGCCCTCTGGAAGAAGAACGACATGAAGAAGGCGGCCCGCCTTTTTTAGACAGCAAAAAAGAAAAAGCAACATCTCAACAAGCATCCATCCTGTCTGGGAGGAAGCAGAAAAGAAAACCAACCCATCTGAAATATCTATATATGCACCGCCATGATACCCTTACTTTCCACCTGTAAACCGCCATGCCATCTGCCTGTGACGCCACGGGAAGGCGCTCCGTGCAGGAACATTTTCACGATGTTGAGGCAGCATCTATAGCTTTTTGTATGCAATGTGGCCCGAATGTTTGACTGACAACCTTACAGACGAGGGCGAGGAGCTGCGTTTGCATGGCCTGTGTTGATGCTCCTCGCCTCCCATGTGGTTTCTGCATCCTCCCCCACTCCCTCCCGTCTCACTGCTTTCATACACCCCGGCAAAAATAACAGCTTTTTCTAATTCTCGTGCAGGCCTCCCTCCAGGTTTCTGCGGTTCTGACTGTTTTATGTGCGCCTTCTTCTACTCTGTCAGTCTTGACTTATCTCCCCGTTTCTATCTCCAGTTCTTCATCAGCAGCTAGTTTGTCTTTTCACTTTGCAAGGGTTTATCATCTTATCTGCCTCGACATATCATTTGTTTGCTGCTCTGCCTTTTCTCTCGCTGTCACTCCATCATTTTAAGGTTTTCTTCCATGCGCTAAGTGACTGTTACATTGCCAAGCCAGTTCATTTTTACACCTTTGCCATTACTTTAGGACAGTGAAGAGACTGCAGACTGTCATGGCCAAAGACAGATATAAGAGACAGCACCATGCGTCTACGATCTTTTACTCAAAAAGCACCTTATCATATGCTTTTGTTTTCAATTTTCCTTCATGCTCTTTGCAATCAGAGAAGTTAGGAAAGACTGACTGGCGTAGTTTTGATATGCGTGCCCTGATATGTTTGAATGCGGTCCCATATCTTACACAAGCATCTCATAAATCAGCATGGATAGGAGAGCCAGGGCTGGATAGGGGCCACAACATGGCAGTGAATCACAGATAGAGGGGTGGGTAAACAAGGAGGAGGCCCTGCAGAGAGCATAAAGTTTCAGGGTGTGCAGTGGTGTCAAACATGCAGCATTGTCAGAGTGACCTACACTCACATCAAAAAACAAACAAAAGAAATTATTTTTATAAGCTATTTTTGACTTCTGGAAAGGATCATTAAAGCAATCATGCAGCTGAGAGAAATCATGATTTTGTTACCAGGGAAAAAAAAAAAGCCCATGCTGACTATGTTAAGCTTCACAGACCTGCAGCAGCACTTAAGCATAACAAGTGGGGTCTTGCTTGATTTAAAACCCAATACTCTAACTGTGTTATATCCTCTCAGATAGAGATTTAACTCTTTATATGTTTGTTGTTTGAGAGCATTGTTGCGTACAGTAAAAGCTCCACATTTAAGCTGAAGTCCGTCGGCTTTGCTTGATGATTTCTGGACCGATCAACTTGCCAACTAACATACCGTAAGATGTATGTGAACATATACTGGACATATACCAGATATATTTGTCTGTATACAAGCCATGGTGTATAACTCTTCAGGCATGCATGAGGGTGGGGGGAATGGTTCGTCCACTGACCTCAGAATAGAAGTGTATGAAAACATTATCATCAATGTGGTTTGAGTGATTGATTATTTTCTGGTTAAATCGTGTCAAATGAAATGCCCGGGTCAGCTGCTTACATTAGCTTGTGTTAGGTATTTATTTAATTGCAATATTAAGGAAGGGATTTTATTTTGAAACCTTAAAGGTGTAGTGTTGAATGAATAGTGTCACCAAGATGAGAGAGAGCTTTTTGAAGAGAAACATATCAAATTTTGAGTTTAATCTGAGTGTCAAATGAATTTTGCTCCTGTAAGTAACACACTAACTGTTGTCATAAAGCGTCATGTCCTCTTTCTAATATTCATCTGCTATTAAAGTGCTTTATCCAAACCACTGAGTCACTATGGATTGGAGTGCTTGAGTTTGTTAAATGAAAGTCTATTACTTATGGAATGACAATACATTTAAGTAAAATGTGTAACATATAGGTGTATGGATGTTTTTGTTTTATGTTTGATTATGTGATTCCAGTAGATCACTAAATATCTGGGAAAGCTCATGTAAAGCTAGAGAGGAAACAATGAAGAGAAGATATCCCTAGGGCAATGCATAAATATGTATGAAAACTATCTGTATAATACATTATATGTAATCAAACAAAATGTCCTTCGCTCATATTGCAATTTGAAGATACATCTTATAAAAGCTTCATAAAAACCACCTAGAACACTGAGAAAATGTAGTCCGTCCCCTCACTTAACACCACACTTCACCATGAAATATAATGATTAGAATCCTTCAGAAATTATTGTGTGACTCTATTTCCAATTCAGACATAACATATATATATATATATATATATATATATATATATCAGAAATTCATAACATGTTAGTTAAAATACACATTTTAGTCATGCCCCAAGGTTTTCACTCCGTCCTTTACAGTGATCACCCTACATGATCAACAAGAAGTAGCATCATTTGAGTCTCCTGAAGGCCACAGGAAGAGCAAAAACAGCTTCTCTCACTCTATTTTCTGTAAGTTTGACTACCCAAATTATTGCTTACATGTTAACATTGATGCTAAAAACCCTGGGAGCCAGTGGAGTCAGGACTGCCAAGATGGCGACAGCCAGAGCTGACCACACTGACATTTACAAGGCTATTCAGAAACCTATGGGTGACATCACAGAGGCTCCATTTTTAATGATACAGTCAATGGCGCAATGAGGAATCATTAGCAACATTACAAGTGCCCTACTTTCGGTTTCACCTCCAAATAAAGTGGTAACTACTCTGTCAAAACTGTTGGCTTGTTCACAACTTGTATGATTGTGTAACTGTCTTTCCCACTGGACCTATTTTTAGCAATGTCACCATGTTCCCAGATTTCAGCAGTTACTTTGGTGAGCACAACGTTGCAACAACTGATAGAACTGATGGACAGAGCAACAAAAATAAACCCAACTTGTAATACACCGCAGTTTTACTTTACATGTATAGAGGGATCAAAGTAGATAGGCTAAGGAGCACTTCTTCACCAAAGCAGGTATCAAAAAACAGGTGCTCTTTGGATCCATGAAACCAAAACAGAGGAGAGGTCATGAGTACATTGCCTTTGACAGGTGAAGATAGACAGAGGATAGATAGAAAAGGTTGGGGGGGGTAACATGCAGCAAAGGGCCGAAGCTTGGAATCAAACCTGGGCTGCTGTGGTAAGGACTCAGCCTACACGGGGGGCACGCTCTAGCAGGCCAGCTACCCTGTATGTTGCTTTGTGATTAGTAAGTCATAACCAAATACCAAGGCACACTGCTTTACAAAAATTAAAAAGCCTTTAATAATAGGCTTAATGCATAATGTGTTTACCATCATGTAGTATCTACAATGCATGGGCTTATTTTTCTGTTGGAAGAACAAAAAGAAAACTGAAAGAATCGCTGAGAACAAGTATGCCATTTGCACAGGAAATGAAGAACATACATAAACAGCACTACAGATGTAACCCGGGTTCACTCAAAGCAGGGAGGTACACCGATCAGCCATAACAATGGGACCACCTGTGCACCCTGGTGGTCAGCATGTTCTGCAGCCTCATACCAACAAACTGCTCTGCATTGTGTGTTTTGACCCCTTTCTATCAGAACCAGCATTAACCTTTTCAGCAGTTTGAGCTACAGTAGCTCGTCTGTTGGAGCCAGCCTTCACTCCCCACGTGCACCAATGAGCCTTGGCCGTCCATGACCTTGTCTCCGGTTCTTTTCCTTCCTTGGACCACTTTAGATAGGTACTGACCTCTGCAGACCAGAAACGAGCTGCAGGTTTGGAGATACTCTGACCCAGTCGTCTAGCCATCACAATTAGGCCCTTGTCAAAGTGGTTCAAATCCTCACGCTGCCCATTTTTCAAACTGTTCACTTGACTGTTTGGGTGTATCTGTTGTTATTGATTGTGTGTGAATGATTTGCTATCCTTAAAGATACCCACTTTATTGATTGCACCTGTAATAATTATCCAGCTACCCTGGCTACCTGGCAGCTGGCAGCAGCCTTGCTCTGTATGTGGGCTGCCATTTGGTTTTTACACACCCTGAAGAGGACAGAGCAGTGTGCCTTGGTATTTATTTATTTTTGGTTTTGAATACAAATCTGACCTCTCCTCTTTATTGCTGTGTCAATTCAGCAGATAATCTGTCACACAGCAGTAGTGTTTCATACTGCATGTTAAGACTAGTTGTGAGAATGCTGAGCCACAAACAAAAGTAAATGTGAGCCATCTACAGTAGATGGACCATGGACTGGATGGGGCCCATTCTACATCAGGCATGTTCTCAGATATACTGGTCTGATTCTGAATCTGATGAAACTCTGAATGACGACATATCTCAGAAGTTAAGGATGACAGCTGTTAACCTAACAAGGCTCCAACTGTGAAGAAACATCCAAGGATGACACATCTTTCTTGTTTGCTTCATCTCATGTGGGGAGCTGGGTATCAGATATGGGCCATATCCATGAAAGATATGAACAGTCATCCAACAAGTGCTAATATGAGCAGTGATTTCTGATTGAGCATGAAGCCTGCAGTGGGAATGTGATGCATCAGAGTAGGGAGACCCACCCAGACTGGATTTCACAAGCAGAGAGACCTTTCATCTCCTCAGGCAGACAGGCCTCTTACCCAGAGAAAACAATGCTGTAGACTTTCACACGTTGTTCAGAGTCTGTGGTGTAAGATTCACATTGAGAGACAATATTTATCCCCATCGTTTGCATTTTGAGTTTCTCCACTGCTGCCAAGGGCAGAGTGAAGTTCTCGCCTTCTGAATATAGAAATCAAAACATAGTCTCTGTCCAGTGTTTCGTAAGCAGTTAGTATTATCATTTCTGTAATTATTCATAATCATTCATTAAAAACAAACCACACACTGTCTGATCATTTTGTAATCACTTTGTAATACATTTTAAATGTACTTTTATTGGATATATTCCTGTGACAAATAGCTGAAATTACAATCCCTTATTGGATTGTTATTAAAATAATGATCAGAAAATGAATTTAAAACCCATAGGTCTGCCAAGAAGATCTTTAACAATGTTGTCTCAACATGTTCCCTCCATGAAACTGTCTGCTTTCTCATCTTAATTTGTTTCTCCTCTGTCATATCCTCCTCTCTAATCCTCCAACAACCACATTTCCATTAATATTGAATATTTTATCCAATTATCTACATCTTAACTGGATGCACTGTATCCTGAGGGCAGCTCCAGGAGTCTCAACCATAATGAGAATTAGTTCTTAATTTCTCTTTATTGCATTATTAATGAGCATCATGTAGTTTTAGACTACTAAAACCCTTTGGTTGAGATATATATATAGGTGCTGATGATGCATCTGTACCGTAATGTACACTACCGTTCAAACGTTTGGGGTCACTTAGAAATGTCCTTTTTGAAAGAAAAGCACAGTTTTTTTCAATGAAGATAACATTAAATTAATCAGAAATACAGTCTAGACATTGTTAATGTGGTAAAGGACTATTCTAGCTGGAAACGGCTGATTTTTAATGGAATATCTACATAGGTGTACAGAGGCCCATTTCCAGCAACCATCACTCCTGTGTTCTAATGGTACATTGTGTTAGCTAATCATGTTAAAAGGCTAATTGATGATTACAGAACCCTTGTGCAGTTATGTTAGCACAGCTGAAAACTGTTGTGCTGATTAGAGAAGCTATAAAACTGGCCTTCCTTTGAGCTAGTTGAGTATCTGGAGCCTCAGCATTTGTGGGTTCGATTATACTCTCCAAATGGCCAGAAAAAGAGAGCTTTCTTCTGAAAGTCGACAGTCTATTCTTGTTCTGAGAAATGAAGGCTACTCCATGTGAGAAATTGCCAAGACACTGAAGGTTTCCTACAACGGTGTGTACTACTCCCTTCAGAGAACAGCACAAACGGGCTCTAACCAGAATAGAAAGAGAAGTTCATTTCATTATTTCAAATAAAAATCATTATTTCTAACCTCGTCAATGTCTTCTATTCATTTTGCAACTCATTTGATGAATAAAAGTGTGAGTTTTCATGGAAAACATGAAATTGTCTGGGTGACCCCACACTTTTGAACGGTAGTGTAATTTCTCTTTTCTTTATTATAGAAAAACAGCCTTTGTTTCAGAGCTGCATGAGCCTGTATTTCAACCCCTGACAATGGACAGCATGTAATAAACCAGCACAAACATTTTCTCCCTCACTCACTGATGGAGCCGTCCCACATGGCGCAAGTCCCGCCTCTTGTAACCTCCAATTGGCCGTCCCTGCTGTCAGTCAGTCGCTGCTGGGGGTTTGACAGGGGCACACCCGCCCTGCCTCTATTGTCACCGGCCCGAGGAGAATATTTATTTTAAACATGGAAAAGGAGAAGAGCGACAAAGGTGAGCTGCTCGCTGGGTTCGAACTCTTTATTTCGGTCGACTTTCATTCACAAGTTGTTCGCTGCTTGTTAGCGCTTAGCTTGCTCTGTTGTCACGGAGCTGATAGCTTCTGTTAGCGCTTCCTGGAGTGACTTCATTCAGATGGGATGGGAGAGGATATATTTAGGCTTTTAATTCATGTCCAAATTAAAAAAAAAAAAAAGAAAATGGCGTCTCCTGCTTCGCATTAACCTAAAACTCCTGTATGGACTTATGTCTTAATGCGTGCTGTGGTTTATGGTCAACTTTGTGTACTTTGGCCTTTTTATTAGTCTCATTAACAGCCTTACAGTATCATTAAAGGTCGTTGTAGGCTTTAATTATGTTTATTCGTCACTTTTATAGTGAACTTATTGCCTTTAATAGTATTTTTTCTTGTCACTGTAATATGTTCTGCCTATTTTGACGTTTTACTGTAA